CGCTCGCGCCACCCGCCGCGCGCCCGCCCGCCCGGCGCGGCCCGCCTCGGGCCCACGCCGTCAGCCGCCCGCGGCCAATCGGGAGCCGGCGAGGGGCCTCATTTGCATCCCCGTCCGGAAGGCTCCCGGGGTCGCCCTGTCCCGTCCCGTCCCGGCTTCTCGGGCGGCTTGCGGCATGCAGAAGCGGCCTCCAGAGCCGCCCTGGAAACCCTGCCAGGTGGAGGTGAATCATAAAGCGATGGAAGCGGGGCTCACAGCAGGCCGAGGACGATACCAAAGAATACGGCGATTTAGTTCTTACTTCCATCCCAAAGGCTGTCGTGTGGTTGTTAGGATCGTGGGCCTTTGCACAGCACCACAAAGCGAAGGCAAAAGGGGACACATCTCTTCATAAAACGTAGATTTGCTAATTACAATGGATGTGAGTTTAGAAATACTGTATTTTTCAAAGCGATATAGTGCTTTCATGGTAGTAAGAAAGACTGGGACCATTTCTCCTGTGTGTCTTCCTTACTGTGATTTCCAAACTCTATTATTTTTATATAGCCAGAGATCTGTATTATATCTTCAGACACCAAAAATACTGTCTTCAAGACTCCATGTGGATTTTACTGCTGTTGAAATTTGTTGGCTCAAATCTTATTTGCACATGGACTATGATTGCATTTAAATTTTTATTGTGAACCACACTGAACATGCAAAGGGGATCTCCAGCTATGAATCTGTTAAACAAATAAGAATCATTTTATTTCAAAGCATCAATAGAGTTTCATTCCTATTCCTTGAATGGGTATGAACATTATGTTATAGAGGCTTTCCCATGCTAATTGATTTGATGGCCTCTTCTGAGGGATTCTTTCATATTTAGATGGAGGGGAAACTAATTCTCAGAGTCATTTTCTACGTAATATACTGACTTTCTCCCTGTAACAGAATTTCCAGTTGTGCAACGTATTCCATGCATGTATACTAGATTGAGCCCCTGCATGTTAATTAGATATGCTTACTTGGGGATATGATGACCTGGAGAACTTAGAGGGGTTGCATCTGAGTAGGTATGTGTAGAATATTAACACAATTGCAATTTTAGACAAAAAAATGGGTAAGAGCGGATCACAGTGGAATGGTAGTGTACACACATGTTATTAGTAATTAAAGGTCTGGAGTTCAGACTTGCTGCCACTGTGAACTATGGGTCCTTCCCAATGGGGCTTTTATAATACAGTCATCCTGCCCTATTCACAGAATGTTCCAGTGGTCCAGGCGTTGTGTTTTCCCGAACTTTCTGTCCTTCCACTGCCAGCCCTACCTCACCATTCTCCATGGAGGACTACCTGTCAAGCAACTGTACTGCCTTTTCTTTAATGGAGATTTTTTGTGGGGGGGCTGGCGGTGAAGAAGTTGTTGGAAAACATGTGTGGGCTATAAATTGAAGCAATAGTCAGCAGAAATGCTTCCAGATAAGGCCATTTCCTTGACTCACTCGTTTTACAGGAGTAAAGGCAGAGTGGCTGCACAATGCCATCTGACTGCTGGCAACACAACCCTTTCTTCTGCAAGCCCCTTTGGACCCCCTGTAAAATTCTGCAAATAAGGCAGTACAATTGCACAATAAAAGCTCCATCTGGATGCACCAGGAAGTGCATTAAGGAAGAAAAGATGGAACAGCTGCACATTTCTTGACTGGTACAGTCTAGAAATACTCTACAAAATCCAAAGTGCAATGGTATATTTAAGTCCCAGTTAAAAACACACACTGATACAACATCAACAAATGACGTGCAGCAGCTTCAAGACTAGCACAATTATTCTGGCGCACACAAATAAATAGTCTTTCAGGTGCTGCGAGACTCTTGGTTTTGCCGCAACACAGCTACCCTTATGAAACTTTTCAAAAAGATTAAATACAAGTATTAGTTTTCTTACATAAGATTTGACCTGATCCATTTTAATAGATAATATTCAACGTGTACCCTATATACATGCGAGCGAGAAATACTACAGTTCTTAGGCACACTTTATACACACACGCGCGCGCGCATACATGCACACATTAATAAATATATTTCGACAAAAGCTCATCAGTTTTGATCAGAGAGAGCGTCGACTACGGGGCGGTATAGAAATGAAATAATAATAATTATCCATATATTTGTCAAGCACAGTTTGCGCCGAAGAGCCATCCGTTAGACCTTTCCAATGCTCGTTTCTTCTGCTTTTGCTTTTCGGAATTCCCAGTAGCGACACGCTCAAGGAAGAACCCGAGCTCCGCGAGCGGGAACTAGCGCTCCCGGCATGCAACGCGCAGAGAGCTCCGCGGCATTCTGGGATTGGTAGTGTTTCCGTGCGGGAACTTAGAGGCGGCGGCGGCGGCCCGCCTTCCTTCCTGCATCCGGAAGCGCTGGGAGGGGCGCTGGGAGGCGGGCCGGTCGCGGGCCGGAGGGCCGGGTCGGCGTTGCCAGGGGTTGGGCGCGTCGCGGCAGGTAGGCGCCGAGGCCGAGCGGGCTGCGGGTGCGCGTCAGGGGGACGCGGGTGGCGGAGGGTCCCGGCGGCCGGGGGGCGCGGGCGCTCGGGCAGGAGAGGCCCTTGCGGGGCCGGGCGGGCCGCGGCCCTTCTTCCCCCGCGCCAGGCTGCGGGGTTGCCGGTGGACCCGGCAGGCGCCCGTTGGACCCGCTCCCGGGGCCGCTCGGACAGGGTCTTGCGCGGGAACGAGCGGAGTGACAGCCCCGCTTCTCTGGCTCCGTCGCCCGTCATTTTGAATGCCTTTCTTTGCACCTCCTCCGGTGCAGAGGCTCGTTTTTGATAAACGCGCGAGCGGGGCCGCCTGCGTTTTGGCAGGTAAAGTCACGAAGAGCTGAGCGGGGTGTCGTGGAAAGGGCATTCCGGAGTGGCTCCTTCCGTAGGAGGCGAGTCGAGGGCGCTTAACGCCAATACCAGCAGCAAAGTCTTAGTAAAAATACTGCTTTCAGCGTGTCGGTTGTTTCGAGGCGGCTTTGTGGGGTGGGAAGGAATTGAATCGTGATGGTGTTAAAATGTGCGTTAGTTAGTTCCACCCGAAGTGACAGTGCATCTGCTCTTTTAGATAAGCAGGCTCGCTTAATAAGGAGAACACTAAAAAGTGACAGAGAAATATCGGGAGAAGGTTTTTGTGTGAGGATCCCAGCGTGATGATGGTGATTTATTAAAACTTTTTGTGTTTTTTTTTTCAAAAAATTAAAAAACTGCAATTAAAATCTGCACATTTTAAAACGGCCGCAACAATTATCCGTTGGAATGCAATCCACCTATAAAATACAGTCATTTTCTGTTCAGGTCTGATTGTGTTCTTAAAAGCACAATTAACAGGCATTGCCTAAAAGTGTTGGCAACCTGAGGAGGGTGAGACATGGCTTTTTTGGTGGGTTCTTTGTTTACTTGGGGTGGAGGGGGTGTTAATGTTCTGAATTTGTGACAAGAGAAGTCAAGGTGAGTTTTTTACTGCTGTTTGTTGATAGTCTGATTGCTAATATTTGATTTATTGTTGGTTTAATTGTTTTGAAATTTAGGTATTACTGAAATGTAGCAAGTTTCAGCTAAGAAAGGGAAGATTATTGTGTGGAAGTACTGTAAGCTCTGTTCAGTTGCAGTACTCATCATAATTCTTTAATTCTAAGCACATGTTTTCTGCAATAAGGTAGATTTCATTCTATTAAAAAAAAAGATGATCCCACACACTTGATGTGTGCTGGCACCTGATCTAGTGCCCCTGCATTGAAATATTCTCTATGTTGTTGCTTTGCATGACATGTGTGACCATTGCACATGCAGATTAATGCAGGTTTGCCAAATTTTATGGAGCAGCCTTCACTGTGTGGCCTTGGCACATTCCTGCCTCTTAAGCTTAGCTTTCTTGATGCTTCAGGGATAGACCATGTATGATGAAAAGCAAGATACAGCACATATTGAAAGTTAAAAAGCAGCATATTGCTCAAAGTCACTGATCTTGGCACTGTCTTCCTCCCCCCTCCCAGAAATAACTTTCCGGAATTTTGCTTAGCATGTTGCCTCATTACTGCCCTTTCTGAGAGATAGTCTCCTATTCGAGAACACAAGTCTATAAATTAACAGACATCCATTATTTCAAAATGTTCCAGTTCTTTTGTGCTGTAGAAGAAGATGCAATTCCAGAGTGTTGTCTTTCACTGGAATTTTCTAGTGACTACTAGGGGATTATAACAGCAAAGTAGTATTGCTTAAAGCAGGGGCTAGGAGCATTTGACCTTGCAGAAGTTGCTGGATCACAACTTGCATCATTTTGCTTAGTGTATGGATGTGGAAAGTTTATTAGAGAAGGTGGCGAGCCAAGTCCCTATAGTCATCCACATAATTTATATACGCATAGAGAATAGACAGAGTGGCCGTGTTTAGATGTAGTTGTAAGCCAGAATTCTAGAGTGCCTTTGCTTTCTTTAAATGAGCTGTCTGCTGAATTAATCAGGAATGCAGAACTCAGTGTGTTGCCTGTACTTGGGAGTCCTGGCTTGTTGCCTCCCTGACAAGCCATGGTTAACTTCTAGTTTGTTCTTAATTTATGAGGTATGGCTTGTTTGGGCACAGTAAGCCAGGAACTCTTGTTTATGTGATAGCTCGTTCACAATAAGTCAGGATTCTCCAGAATTCTGACTTCTTACTGTCCCCAACATAGCCAGCCAACGTCTATAAAATCTAAAGCCCATCCCTCTGATACTAAAAGCCCCCTTTCTAATCCCAGTGAATTGTTGCATACCTCCCTTAGTTTTAAAGAGAGTGCTATGGGCTATGCCTGGCAGCGCAAGTTTGCAGACTAGTTGTAATGATAATTGAAGGGTAGACAACATGGTAGCCTTATGAGTTGCTAGCCTGATGTTTCTTGCTGTGTTTATTATCTGAAGAACAGTCATTCTGTTCCTCTTTCTCTGTGCAGCCCAATTTAATGAAGATGGAAGACTATGAGAATTTCTGCAAGAAGCAGCTTGCCAGGATCCAAGGAGAGTCTATACAAAAAGGAATATCCCCACCTGCTCAGCACAAAAATATTTCTCTTATTCATTTCAATGGTGTCCCTGTGCTTTCTCCTCTGGTAAGAAATCCCTGTCACTTTTGAATAACGGATACTGAAAAGGAAAACAGTAAACCTTAATTGCATTAGTAATCTTGATATTAGTATGTTATCCCCAATTCTGTTTCATTTTGTTCTGTTATGTTAGTAACACCATTTTACTGCCTTGGGTTCCTCATGAGGGGAAAGAGGCAGGATATGAAGGCAAAGTCATATTAATTTAAAAAAATGAGGAATATACTGGGTATCTTTCATAGTCCCTCACAAGAGGCAGTGACACTACTCAATCTCCCTCCCTCCCTCCCTCCCTCCCTCCCTCCCTCCCTCTCTCCTGCTTTGTATTTCAGCTTACTCTTGAGAGAAAGAAGGAGTTACAACAAGACAGAAAAAAGGCTGTGGACTTAGAACTGTGGCGACAGAACTCCAAGAAAATAATTTTGTTGAATCGTGTTCAGGAGATTGTGGAAAATGTGCAGGTGAGATTGAAAGAGACCTTTTTGCAGCAATAGTTACTACAACAAAAGAGCAGCGTGGGAAGCAAATAGGTTTTTATTTATATTCCACTGGTCCACGTGCAGCACGTTAATCTCTCTGGTAACTTTTATATTGACAAGCTCTGGTGACAAAGTAAATAAAGTGACTTACCAGTCTAGTGGTTAGAGAACACAGTTACTTAGACTTCCAGCTAGACATAGTCAGGTTTAGACAGTTAAATGCTTTGGTGTATATGTTGCGAACTGGTTAATGAAGCTTATGCAACCAACGTTTCTGAGAAATTGCTGACGCTTACTGCACGATGTGTATCTGCCTCTTCTATATATCTTAACATAAGACTCTTGTGGCACCTTAAGAAACGGACAAATTTATTGGGGCACCAGCTTTTAGGAACTAAAGCTGACTTTTCTTAAGAGACGATTAATGAAATGGGCGGTGCTCACCCAAAAAATACGTTGAAACAAGCCCACTAATCCTTACAGGATCAAGGGCATCTTTTTGTTGTCCTTGCTATAGCAGACTTGTACTGCTCTCTCCCTTGAAGTCAGCTTATCATTTCCCCTCTGCACTAGGAATATAAAAGCAGTGACACAATTCTTTGGAAGGAAAGGGATTTATACTAGCTGGCGGCTATGAAAGAAATTTTCACAGTCCTTGACCAGTACAATAAAAGAATGATTTGGCTTGTAGCAAAACTTTATAGCAACTGGGTTAGCCTGCTTGCTGAATGGACTCTGTTCAGCCTGTGGAGTTAAAATAATAATAAGGGTCAAACGTGAACTATTCTGTTTCTTGGTATGTTTATTAGTGTGTGCATGGCAACCATCACCTGCCTTGGGCTCTGAAAGCTATGATGGCAGGAGCATGACTCAAGGATAAAATACTAATCAGTTGCTTTAGACAACTTGAAGTTAATATGCTGTATGTTCTGAACCATCATTTTTCAGCTCCCAATCTTCTTATTGTCTTCTGAAGATCTGCTTGGATGATTATCCTAAGCTCTTCCTTTATAATAAACATGCTTCACATCTAGGCAAGGCGCTGGAGGCTAGATAAGCAAATGCAGCTATTTTTTCTCTTGATAAGTTTGACAAGACATATCCAAAGGATTATGTTAGTGTGTCTGCCATGAAAATGCTTGCATGCGTAAAAGGCAGCAGGTTAATTGATCTGAATTAGTGGAGTCAGAGAGCTGTTATGGATGTGCTTAAAGCCTTGTACACAATCAGTAAAGTTTTTCTTTTTTAAAAAACCAGCAGGTTCAGTTATCTTCAGAACCTTGTTTAGAAATTGTTCTTGGTACTTTACTTTTGTGTGCCTGGGAAGCTGGGGAAAAGTGGCTAACCACTGTTCCAGAAAGGGGGGGGGGAACCTTGAGAGTGTAGAATTAGCCAGATAGTTGAGATCATGACCTGAGTGCTGGTTGCTCACATTTCTGTACTTTTTCTAATAATCTTTCTTCATCATACTTCAGTATAGCGCATCATGTTTTTCCCTTTACAGATGAAGAAATTGTCCAGTCAGCATGCTTTCGACCAGTTTGAGATGGAGAATATTCATACACATTTAAAATCAAAAGTGGCTAATGGCTTTAAGACACAATCAAACAGTGCTTTGCCAAGTTCTACTGCTCTTGGTGGGTTTGCAGAACCTAAAATAGCACCAGAGGTTAAGCCAACGGATCTAGAGGTTGCCTTGAATGGCGATTCCCTTGGAAGAACTGAACAGTTTATCCCCCACAAGCCAAAGGACACTTGCTCTAGCCTTTCTGAAAAGAGAGTTTGCCCGGAAGGTGCATCTTCTGATCCAACACAGATGTCTCCTTTACATGAGACTGTGAAGAAAGACAGCATTGAAATAGTATCAGCTGATACAGAAGGCCCAGATCCTTGCATGATGAGTCTGCAGAACCTCTTAAAAAAATCCAGGGAGTACATACAGCGAGAACAAACCAGGCGTAGCTTGCGAAGTAATTCAAGGAGAAATGGCAGTGAAAGCCATTCAGATAAAGAAAATGATGCCGTTAAAACAAGTGATGCTGTGAAAGAGAGAGGAAAGTTAACAGGCAGAAGTGGTTTGGCTGCGGCACCTGATAAGTCAAGTCTTACAAAATCCGGCACTTCGCTGCAAAGTACCTCTGTTGCCAAGAATAACACAAGTGTGACATCAACCAGTTTTTCTAAAGTGGATATTCCTGTGAGATCTGGAACACCACCTGTGCTGGATTCAAGTGAAGACTTAAGAAACACCTCTTTCTTTGAGCACAATAGTAGTATTCTCCAAAGCTTCACTGGTTCTTACTCCAGGTTACCCAGTCCAGAGTTGAGCATGAGTCCCAAAATGCACAGGAGACGCCCAAGGCCTTCTTCCATGGGGCACATTGTCATTAACCACCCTGTAAATGCCTATGAATTAAGCCCTAAAGAAAAGGGAAGAGCTGCCGACCAAACCACTCAGGATGCTGGTAGCCGACAAAGTGCATCTGACCTGGTGCCAGCGCTGGCCGCAGACTTGGCTCCCATCTGCCCCAGCAAGGTCCATGTTTTCTGCAAGAGCTCCTCGGACATCTGTGATGAACTGGGATTTGAAAAACAAAATCAAGTGTGCCAGCCTTTGGTTGGTCAACGAGAGAACAAAAGGTTGCCAGTCAGTGCCACGGTCGAGGTGGCACTGATTTCAGGGGACAGAGGTGTATCGAGCCCTTGCCTTTCAGACCCAAGTGCTCAGGACACACACGCAGTCAACTCCGTTGTGGCAACGCAAAGTAAGGCAGATGTTACTGGAGCCACGCAAACCGGCCTGCTGGACCAAGCCAAAAGTAGCCCCCCCATGGAACTCAACAAATCATACGACGTGGAAAGCCCTTCTCCCTTACTAATACAAACACATCAGGAGCAGATGGATACCCCAAATGAGTCCCTTGGAAACGAGCCAGTCCTAGAAAATGGGTTTGAAAAGGTGAAACGGAGGCTCGAGCTGGATGCGGATAATGCCCAGAAGGAAAACATGCCGTGTGACATAGCAGCAGAAACCAACGCACGGGAGAAGCGATGGCTGCCTGGTCAGAGGTGCTCAGAGGGGCCTGCGTTTGGTTCCAAGCGTGAGGCGCCAGGAAGAAGTGTCAGTGGTGAGAGAATGCATGCTCCAGCAAGACCATGTTGAATTAGTTGAGCTATGAAACGTGCAGAGGATCATTTGTATTGGCCCAACGGTGTTGATGGGTAGGACCAGTTCCAGGTTTGAGGGGGCCTTCAGCAGAACGACCTTGAGTGGGCCCACTCCTGTGGCACTGACTCCCACTGGCTGCAAACCTGACAGCAGCAGGCACTTAGGAAGGCACTGCGTTACATTTCCCACAATGCTGTGGAGGAATGCTATTTCAGGCACTAGAGCATCATTGGAAATTTAAAACAAAGACCCATAGATTCCCACTGCATGGAATGGGGGATCTAGCGCAAGCATCAGCAGCAGTGAACTCTTCAGGGCTCCCGCAGGGTCTGCTCATGTGTTTTATAATGTTCAGCTTGATGCTAAGCCTTTTTACCCACTGATATTAACCTAATATGCGGTTGTGTCTATATTATGGGAGTAGTTAAAATGGTGCTTTAAATAAGCATTCACTGGTGCTGCAGTTGTGGGGTGAAGCACTAGTTTATTGACTTAAATTCTGTAGCTGTGGGTCGCTTAGAACTATTCTTATTTTGAACACAGGCTATTTAAATAATTTGTGCATTCAGAAACACGTCTCTGCTTTTTCTAGCCTTGGGCCAGTGTTGGCCTCAGTGGGCAGTTGCCGGGACACCACCTCCCTGGCACAGCCTGCCACTGCGGTCGGCCACACATGTTGCTGGGCAGCAGTACCGGGCAGCTGGTTCTTGGAATGCCTTTCACGTCCCCCAAGGCGGCAGCCTTGTGTTGCCCTGGAGAACACTTGGGCCAGGCCCTCTGGCAGGAGAAAGGCAAGTGAGCAGGGCTAGAAAGAAAACAGTGTTGCCAGAACCAAGTCAGACCCGACCTGGCTGTGCTTTAGCCTTCTTTCTGCTGTCCCACCACATCCTTGTTGCTTTAACCTATTGTTCTGAAAGCAATCTCTACCATTAAACACCAGGAACACTTCTAACCAAGTATATTCCTGTGTTCTCACTTTAGACCGCAACTGTAGGTACCTGCAACTGGAACTAAATTTTCCTGAAGCCAGTGAGATTTGCTTGCAGAAAATTTCTCTTCAGCAGCTAAAGCATAATTCAGTAAATGTTCGTGTTGGAATACTAGCAAAGCTGCTGTTTTGTGAAACAGTTTGCAGTTGGGGTCCCTTGCTGTGAGGATGGTCAGAATCTGTTTTTGAAGTCTTATATAAGTTTTGGTGCTATGGTAAGAAACCAGAGTTATATTGCACTCTGTCTTAATGCTATATATAGGGTTCTGCTTTGTTTTGCTTGTAGCAGAGGAGACTTTTAAGCAGAAAATGCTAGCCTTTGAGGAATTGAGGAAGAGACTCGAGGAACAACATGCTCAACAACTCTCATTGTTGATAGCTGAGCAAGAGAGAGAGCAGGAGAGGCTGCAGAAGGTGAGAAGTGAAGACAAAATATCTGAGTGGAGGTCTTTAACCTTGGCGAGAGTAACTCGTTGCTCTTTTTAGTTCATGCTGCCATTACAATGTATTGTATTGCATTGCTGTCCTGAGATCTTTCTACAGGACAGGATAGAAATGCTGCTGACAGACAGACAGACAGACAGACAGACGGTTTCAAATCCTCACTGGAAAGAACACAGGCCTGGCTGTGAACAAAATTTCAGCTAGTATATTGGTCTCAAAGTAGAGCAAATGGCTCCTTTTTTGAAAACAATGTAAAATAAACACCAGGCCTGATCAATCTACTATTTTAGTACCAAGATGAAAAGGTCTTTCCAAGAGGACATGGCATAATTAATGTATGGCAAGAAAAGCTGTTGGGAATTGTTCTTCCAGCAAGAGGCAGACAATTAGTACAGTCCGCATGTCTCAATGCATTTCTGCATTAACCAGTGCAAAGGTTGCAGGTTGCCACGCACGTGGGAGGGGATATGTTTGGTTGCATCCGGCTTCGAAGGCGCATGTGGCCTGGAGAATTGCTTGATGGTGACAAAATTCGGCTGTACTGTAAAACTTAGTGAGCCAAGCAATGGAATAATGGATGGAATAAAATGTAGCAAAACCAGCATCAGATAAAATTACATATGGAAAGCCAGAAACATCAGTACAGAGCTTGGTAGAATATAGAGGGGCATCCGAAGGGCCGCAAACAGGGGAGCAGTGGTGTTCTCTGGGGGGCAGAAAGTGTGGGGCTGCTTTTGATCAACTGTCAAAATTGTTATTAGCCAAAATTTTGAAAACACCTCTGTAACAAGTGTGTGGTAACCTGATCTCTGGTTTCTTTAACCGGCAGGAGATAGAAGAGCAGGAATGGAGACTGAAAGGGGAGAAGACGGCTGTAACCAAAATGGACATCCCCCAAATTGCTATTAGTAGCAGAATGGATTTGGAGTGGCGGAAGATCAGTGACACACAGTTGCTGGAATCCGTGCTGACTCGGGTGGAAACGATCCATAGCACAAATTCAGAGAGTGCTGGTAAATGTGGAAGGAAAGAATATTGATTTTAAAATGTACTCTGGTGTAAATAATTCATGAAGATAGAGACTTAGTTTTATGTGTTGGCTATGCAGAGAACTGAAGAACAAAAACTGGTTTATCTGTGGCCTTAAAAATAAAGGCACATCTGATTGTGGTGGGCGGTATGTGGCGAGCATGTTTATAAAATCCCCTGCCCTGGTGTTATTAACATCCTGGCCAGTATGACTGAAGAGAAGAGTATAATGAACATAAGCTGTTCTTCTAAATGTCTATTTACTTAATGATTTAAACTTTCAAAATGTAGGTTTTGCGAATGCTTCCATATCCTGTTCGACTGCTGATTCGCCATTCTACCTTTGGGAACCACCAGCCCATGGAAAGTCTGTTGCAGCATCCAGGTCTATTAGCAGAAGTAGAATGAGATGGTCTCAGGTGGGGATAACAAAGGTTTTGGAGTTCTTATTTTGCACAAAGCTATGTCGCTGGAGTAAATGTTAAATTTTCTCTCATCCCTAACCCTCATCGAAAATAGTTTTGTTAGCAGTCTACTAATATGCAGCATAAACTATCCCGTTCATTTTTATGTGTGTTTTGTCTCTCTCCTGCTATGCCATGCTCGTAAAGAGAAAAGAGTGTATAATGCCAGATTTGGCAAACAAGGCAATAGTTTGTGTTAGTCTTTCAGAACCTTTGAGTTTCACTCCATTAATTCTGTTAAAGATGGGATGGTGTAAAATGGAGAAAGCAAGAACATAATCATAGCACACATGCCATATGTGATGGCATTTTGCTTTTTCTCTTTAAGGTGTACAGTCCTGAGATGAAAAGGAAATTGAACAAGATTTCTGCCTTGGCAAAGGGATTTCTGACTCGAAGACTCTTGCAAACAGAGAAATTGAAACACCTTAGGCAAACTGTAAAAGTAAGGCACCATTTGCAGAGACTGTGTGAATGTGATTACCACTGAACATGTCTCCTTCCTTTCCATATCAGCAACAGCTAGTGATAGACACAGGAATTCATTTCAGAACCACGGTGCTTCTTATTTTTACTGGGCTGCCCAGCTATTCCCTGCATACGTACCCTTTTTTAATTTTCCATCTCCAGGTGCCAAATCCAGCTCTCTGTGGTCCCAGTCTGGCCTCCAAGGCTGCTCAGATGGCCCATTCCCCTGGTGCCCACCCTCTTCTCTTAAGCACCAATTGGTGATTTTTTGGATTTTGTGTGGTGTATTCCTACATTTTAAAATGTTGAAACCCCTGTGCCTTAGTTACTGGCAGGCAGAGCTTTAAGCTAAAATATGATGATAGTTTTGGTATTTTGGTCCAACCTACCATTTGAATGTATCCTCTGAAAGCTTCTGGCCCTGAACCTTCAGGCTGAAAGAAGATTCAATATTTCCTATTGTCTAAAGCAGCTCATGCGTTACAGCTTGGTTGCATTAATAGTACAAGAGAATTTTTTGTAAAGATGCAGGGTATACAACCGTATACACAAGATTGGAAGGCCCTTGACAGAACTTAGCTTTAAGGCAATCCAGAGCAGGTTTATTTATATTTTGGGTCTGTCTGAAAATGTCATTCTGCTTTCTTTTGAAGGATCAAGTTGTCTCAACTGCTTGTAATTTCTTCTGGAATTCAGTGCTAATTCAGATGTGTGTGTTTTTAGGATACAATGGAGTTCATAAAAAATTTCCAGACAGAAGCTCCATTAAAGAGAGGAAGTGTTTCAGCTCAAGATGCTAACTTGCAAGAGAGAGTGGCAGCTCAGGTGACGTATAAGCCAAAACAAGCTTATGTGGATGAAATCTGGATGTTGGCTTTGTCTCAACATACTTCATGGGGTGGGAGAAATGGAAGCTTCCATGCATACAAAAATATGTTGCTTTTAGGCCCAGTATATTTTTCATTCAGTTAAAATCTTCATCAGGGTCCTGTAAAACTCTCTTATCCAGATGTACTTTTAAAAAGTGATTTCCTCTGTGATTGCTTGAATCATGTTGGACTTTTAAAAAAATAGGCAAATTGCTTTTGTACAACTTGAGATTTTCTCTGCTTTGGTTCTTAAATTGGTGTCTCCCCTACTGCTCATTTTTCACATGCATCACACCAAGCCACAGTGTATAAGCAAATGGTGGTCAGAGATTTCAGTTGTGTGGCAGGTCAATCATAGCTTGGAACTTCTTGTTTGATTGACACTGTTATAGCTTGCTGCAGTGTCCTCTGCAGATGAAGCAATATAATTATGCTGGCTTGTTGATGAGTAGTACAAGCCATGGTTTGTGCAACCCACATCAAACCATTGTTCCCAGTTCTGCTTTAGTGGTGGCAAATAGAGGTTTGTGAATTCAGACATCTTATCAAATTATAGCTAAACGTTTAATCATGCTTTGATGAATTGTCTGTATTGGTCTTCTTTACGTGGGAGTATGTATGCTTTGAAGTGGTCTTTCTGTCAATTCACGACCTGGATGACTTCATGAAAGAGAGTGATCTCTCAGCTGGGTATCATCTGATTCCCCAGCCTCTGGGAATCCAAGGAGTAACTTGATTCATCTTGGCTAATCCTCAACCTCAATTTCTCTCATACATCCTGGGAGAAATTCATATATCTAGAGTCCTTCTAGATCTGACTTATGCAGGATCCACTTGTTTATTGGAAATACTACAGGACTATTATTTGAAATACTGACTTGTTACTGCATTTCATAGAAGTTTGTATTCCTCCTCCCCTAGCTGCGAGCTGCGTTGTATGATATTCATGATATCTTCTTCAAAATGGATGTGTCTGAGAGAATGAGTATACTGTGTCATGACCGAGAAGTTCGCAAAGAGAAAATGCTCCGGCAGCTGGTATGTTACTGCAGCGCCTCATTTAAATACCAGGTTACTAATGCTTGCATTTAGATGATAATTTTTCTTGTTAACATTGAAGAGCCCAAATGATTAGTCAGTTCGGGTAGAAACAAGAATTCTGCAGCTGTTTTCACTCTGTTCCCACTCAAGAGGTTTGTGTGTGACTTTCCCCCCCACTGTTTCTCCAAGGAGTGCAGAGTTGTGTACATTTGACAGACTTATTAGAGTCACAATAATTTTTATCCTTACAATATAAGGATCCATTTTTAAATATATCAAAGCAGTGTGAATTGACGAGAAATAACTTCTAGTTAATTTGGCTTTTAAAAGAATTGCTTGTGTTTGAGGTGAGGGCTGACATGCTTGAGGGCTTTCAGAAGTACAAAATAGGAAAGAGAATGTAAACGGGAATCCCTCGCCCCAGGAGCCCAGTGAGAAATTAGCATACCCAGTAGCCACAGAATATTATGTGTCTGTTGGCTGGGGAGGTGGATGGCAAACTAAGGTGGGGAAGGGAAATGGAGCACTGTGGACGAAGGTATGGTTTGCTAGCTGAAATGGACAAAATGGAATGAGATGGAGAAATGGAATGAAATTGCACAGAGGTGTGCCTTATCATTCCCATGTTTAGAGAGATTGAACAGGAGCATCCCATGATTAATGTATTGATTCATCTACAGTGTTTGTATGCTGCTCCATACCTAAACATAAGTTGCAACATTTTGTTGCAGGTTCTTCCTAATCCTAAGCATTAGTCTGAGCTGCTACTTGCAAATAAACCTCGCACCAACACCAAACATGAGAATGGAAAGGCACATCTCTCTGCAAGCAGACATCCCCTCCCCAATTTTCTTTAGGGGAGACCTTGTGATCCAGAGGAAGGGAGTGTGCCTGTCTTTATTTGTCTTCAGTACATGCAGGGGATGGGGCTGAACCCTTCTTGATACTACCAGGCCACTGTCAAATTCTTCTTCATTAATGTTTAGCCTAAAAATGAGAGGCATGCATTTCAAAAATTGATTTCTTGTGGAGCTTCATACCAACTGATAAAAATGTACAACATGGGAAACTATTCGTCTCAGAATACAGTTCTAAGAATATGCGCTATGTCCAGTGTGTGTTGTCAAGCAAAGGGGTTAACTAGAAAGCTGAAGAAAGGGTTAATAAGAGAGATTAAGCCCAAGCAAAGAAAATGTCACTGTGCCCCAGTCAAGAGAAAAGACGTTTCAAAGCAGCCTTGCTGACCAAAGTGAAATGGCAACCTGGAAATGTAAACCTGGCTTTGTGTTGCAAAACAAGATTGTGTATAGGTGTGCCCATGTGTTCCAAAGCATGAGTGTGAATCTTCTTTACATCTTAAGTTGTGCAAGAAAAGCACATACCAGCCATACCAGCAGTAAAACTGTTTAATCAATCAGGATAATGAAGGTGTGCTGAAATATTTCATACTGTTCTTTGTCATCACCTCTTAATGGCGTTACCCTCTTGCGTTAATAAAGCTTCCTGTTAGTATTGTTGAGTGGCAAGTACTTGGGGCTGAAAGGGCCTCCAGTTTTGAACTGGAAAAGAGCCTCTCTTGGGACTAATTCTGGAGTCCCGTGACAGTGTTAACCCTTTGTGTGTTAGGATTGCAGCTTTTAGTACATTATCTAATATTTTGTGCTAGGTATTCTTTCCCAAGTAAAAACAGTAATTCTGATACTTGACATGGTTCTGTGCAGGATAAAGCAAAGGCCCCGAGAGAGAGAGTGACACTTTCTACAGCTACACAAAAATCTTTGGATAGGAAGAAATATATGAAGTACGTAAAGGAAGTATATGAAGTACGGTAAAGGAAATGCATCCATATGTTCAGTTGTGGCTTCCTAGTTGTGTTGGCATTTTTCTGCCCTTATTGTGAATTTTGGGGGAAACATTAAGGTAAGATTTTGTTTAAATGTTGGTCTACAGGTTCTGGTGTATCATGGTCGGTATAAAATCAGGTATCTGAATTCCTGTTGATTGTATTAATTCAAGATTCTTCCCCTAAAACAGCTAGAACCTAAAGTCGTTTGCTAAGGCTTCCTTTCATTTTTCTGCTTCTGCATGGCTATCTCCCAGGCTGTATCTTCTGAGTATTTACTGTGTAGACTTCTTTTTTTGGTAGTTTGTAGGACACTGAACAACTTCTCTTTATCTGCTGTTATTTTGCTCTGATAAAGAAAATCAGTTTGCAGCAGATACTTGCTGAGAATTTAGTAAGGTGGGATTGCTGCTTTCTCTTCTCTGGCCATGGCCCTTGCCACGTGTAACTGATGGCAGGATGCTGGTAACTGTGAAGCAACTTACTCAGAGATTGTCTGGCTTCTGGTTCCCCGTGTTGTGAAAGATCAGGATCTCTGTAGGGGAGCTGCAGCGCCTCCAGTACTTGTGAGACTGTGGTTATGATCACACCTGTTTATTAGCCAGGTTGGCTGGAGCTGATTGGAATTACACTCTAGCAGCATCTTGTGGGACATGTCACAACTTCCTCTGGCCCTATGCTGAAGCAAGGGAGAAGATGAAAGAGAGAAGAGCAAAGTACACAAGGGTTATCTGGCATTCTAGCTTATAGGCAACGAATAATCAGATGCTTGCTTTTTAAATAATTCCTCTTCCCCAAAGTGATATGCCTATCTTTTGTTTTCCTGTTCAGAGCTTCAGAAATGGGAATGCCAAACAGAAAAACAATTGTGAAACAAAAGACTCCAGAAAACAGGTTTGTAAAGAGGCTTCTGCTTTGTAATGGAAGAATTCTATAACCTTTGCATGTTTCCCTCTTAAATCCCCTTGCTCTATTGACATACCGTCTGTTCATGTGTCCTCTTCCTTTACAGAGTTCTCCAGCCAAATCAGGGTCAAAATGCTCCTATACAAAGGCTCCTTTCCAGACAAGGGTAAGCACATTATTGTTTTCAATAATGGAAGTGTAATTTTTCAGAGTTAAAAACAAAGGCCAGGATTCAACAAACAAGTCCACTAGCTCTAGTGTTGGCTTACTTTTCTGTTTTATCAGACAGTGCCTAACCATAATCTGGCTGCAGCTGTGTGTATCAGGAGGGGTGCCCTGAGCTTCCAAAAATAATTTGGAATGAGGCATTTTTCAAAGAGGAGCAGCTTTTAAGAAGCATAAATGGAAAGAAAGAAAGAATAATAATGGCACAGTCTAAGTTGAAGGATTTAGACTGATGTCCTCTCTTGAGAAGTGTAGCCATGTTTATCTTAAAGAAAAATGGATAAAACTCCCAAAGGGTCTGACAACAATTTCTATAGGACTAGCTGGTGGAAGAGCAATAAGCAGAGCATTTCTGCCTGATGAGATCTCTGCAGCATGAACACTTAGCCCTACCCAGCCCAGTTGGTTTGATAAAAGTGTAGATTTGAGGTTTATTCTAACCCAAAACAAGAGTTGTTTTAAAAAACAAACAAACGATCAGTGCAGATATTTCCTGGATATGGAATACCTGCTCCTCTGAGACAGGTTCTCACAAAATGGCATTGGGCATTTTGGTCTTGCGTTTTATTTGCATTCTTATAGCCCTCCACAAATTCAGCCTTTGTTGCATTACACTGTTTTCCCATGAATTCAAATAGAAATAGTTTGTAATGATCGTGCCGGCATTGTACTGTACCATAAAACAAATGGGTTATTTTTAAGATGGCCAGAATACAGTTGGTTGGGTTGGTTCACAAGCAATGCCAAGCCATGGTCTTATGTTATGAACAAGTATTAAACTTCAATGCTCTTTCTGCCTCTCTCATACTCTGTTTTAATCAGTTCTGCTCTGCCTCCAAAAACCAGTAAGCTGTAATTACCCAATACTTGATTGGGGATCTTTCCTGATCCTACCAGGAAAAGTTGGGGATTGAACCTTAGACATGCAAAGCAAACTATACCAACAGAGTGATGAACCCTTGTCCAGAACCAGTTCTTACAAATGCAGAAGTTACTCTTAAAACCAAGCTGGAGTGTCCAAACATGACGTTCATTCTTGTATCACCAAACCATAGCTTCCATGTAGCCTGAAGTGCCTGATCCTGCCTAATCTTGGAAGCTAAGCAGGATCAGGCCTGGGCAGAAGTGGGATGGGTGACTTGAGTGTATGATTCTATGATTATTGCTGTCAACTGCCTAGAGAGCTTCGGCTATGGGCAGTATAAAAATGTAATAATAATAATAATAATAGTTTAGCATTACATGTGAATCAACCTGTTGTATTTAACATTGAATCTCTTGTGATATTCCTAAGTAATGGGAATTTCAGAATGGCATATTTTAAGAAGTATTGTATCTCTGTGGAACTTTTTTGGCAAAGAAACCACCTTTTTTCTTTTCGTTTTTTCTGGTAACGGAATTTTTGCTTGGATGCAAGTGACTTATTAACTCCTTTTATATTCAATTAGAACCCCTAAGACCTCAGTGAAGGGGGCTGAACAAAATAGAAAGAAGCCCTCAGAGAGCAGAGTGTCTAACAAGGCCTTTTCAGGTGTGTAAAAATGGGTGCTTGGATCTCATTTAACAAAGAAAATAGTAAGTTGCTCGTATAAAAGGAAAAGGCTTAAACAGCACATGTTTTCCCACTTGCTGCACCAGCTCTGCTATACTAACCTTGACTACTAGAATTGATGCCAAAAAAAAGTTGTCTTCACCAACTGCATGAATAGGTGGCAGTTTCATTTTAGCTTTCTTGCACACTCCAGCATAGAAAAGCTTTAGCAATGAAGCAAATCACATTTTTAACAGAAGTATTCTCATTCTGAAAAATACCGTGCAAGTAAAACTCATGGAGTGCCTGAATCCTGTTTTGATGTTTTGTTTCGTTAAATAAGACTTCCTGGCTGAAACACGCACATGCTACTCACGTTCTCGTGCATGATTGCGCCTCACGCACATGTGTGATGGAAGACAGAGAGATGGGTGTTAGTAATGCTGTGCATGCATACTGTTTTGGTTTAGGGATTTAAGATGTCGATTTTAATTTGGAAAGAGGAGAGTGAAAGAATATGGAACACAATATGCAATGTGGCTTGTGTTGAATGGTAAAAGAGCGCTACTTTGAAAGCTTAAAAAAGGTAGTGCTACTTCGAAAGGTAAAAAAAAGTCCTTGAGCTGCCTTGGTGAGTCTTCCGTAAACCACAAAGGACCCTATTTTACTTATGTTGTTGAATTTTGAGAAGAGATCCAGAACTTGGGCAAAGTTGTCCTGGTTATACTAGTGGCTTTCAGTGTGTGTTCAGGAGTTCCTTTGAAGCTTGCCAAGCTTCCTTCCAGAAGACCTCAACAGTGGCCAGTTTCTCTGAAAGACAGCCTGCCCACAAGTTATTGGTCTTCCTGTAACACACTGCCAGCTTACAGTAGCAGTGCATGCGGATATCATGTTTTTAAATTATTACATATTAAACTTATATTCTTTATTGCTAGCCACATAGGGCTCTCTAAGCTGATTTGAATCCATGTTTTGGGTTTGCTTGCCCCGTTTGTAAAGCCCAGTGTAAATAGGGCTGTGATTTTCTAGAAAAACTCACAAATTCCAAACCTGTGCTTGAAAAGTGCACACCTTAATGTAGTTTCACATGGGTGGAAATGCATGTTTTGGGTACCCATTTCAGATAGCACACACCAAAACCTCACAGATTCTCCTGCCCCCTGTCCACACAAGGTATTGATGAGGGCCTTGTAAACCTTTATCTGAGCAGTGCACACATTTTGGAATGGTCCCTGGATCCTCCAAAATGTGCAGAAGTTCTGTATAAGAACTGCCTGCTCTTTGCATTCCAGCAAGCAGAATCAGACACAGCCCATTGTAGGTAACCCCCATCGTCTAGATTCTGCTCATCTCTCTTCCCCCTCCTTTCTTCTCCTCCCACCAAAGGATTTTTATATTACCATTCAAATAAGTTTCCAGATTCTCTTTAAACAGCAACAAACACACTGGAGATACGATTAAATGAGGGTCAAAAAAAGAAAGAAACAGGAACAGGAACAGCACTCACAAACAGGAAACCCAAAGCAACATAAAGCCCATTAAAAGACCTTGGAAAATTGAAAGTTCTTCAGCTTGGTGTTGAAATGGTACCAAGGCAGCATGTGCAGCAGAGTGTTGGCCTGGGACTTGGGAGAACCAGGTTCCAGGTCCTGCTAGTCACTGACTCTTGGGGAGGATAAAATGGAGAGGAGGCGGATATTATGTTAAGTTGCCTTTGGTCTCTTCCAAAAAATGGAACTTGAGGGAAAATAAATAATATCAATAAGCCCCTTTTCCTGTTTTCCACCTGTCAGAGCACAGTAACCAGAATAACCAGAGAAGGTCCTTTGTTGAAGATCTCACTGTTTAACCAGTTACCCAATCCCAAGCTGTGAAGGACTGTAGTGTCAGAACCTGGGGTCATCCCATGTAGCAGATTGATGGAAGATTCGGGACAGATAAAAGGAAGGACTTTGTCTTTCATTCTGTGGTCAAGCTATTTGCAAGACATTGCAATGGCCACTAGTTTGGATAGCTTGAAGGAGGATTGGGCAAATCCATGGAGGCTGTCATGGACTACCAGTCCTGATGGCTACATGCCATCTACAGGATCAGAGAAAGTGTGCTTCTGTAAGTAGAAACCAGATGGGAGGATGCTGTTGCATTTACGCCCTCCTGGTGGGTTTCCCACTTGCACCTGGTTGTTCCTGGTGTGAACAGAATGGTTGACAAGGTGGACCTTAATCTAGTTCTGCGTAGCTGCTCTTAGGTTTTTATCAGTACTGTGGACTGGACCAGGAGATGGAAAAGGGCTCCAGCAATGACCAGAACGTTCCATTTCTCCTGTCACCTAGGCCTATCCCGATACATCATGGTAGTTTAGCCAGTGTAGAAGCACAGATTGGATACAGGATATGCGCTTGCTGCCTGTTCTGTAGGTCAAGGTGTTCTTGGTATGGACCTGCTTTGTCTTTTAGATGCTCAAATATTAAACTTGAAACTATTTACAGTTGACAGTAGAAGAAACGGAAAAGGACCCTTCGGTGTTTTTCTGTTTAGTGTCACGTATTTCCATGCACCTGCACAAATCAACAAATCTTGATTTGTTTCCACAAGCATTTAGAAACTCATTTATGCAACCACTGTACTGTTTTAAGATGTGGCTTGGTAAATCAGCAACTTTTTTTGCACCTGCTCCAATACTGCTTGCTTTGTAACGCATGCTAGGCACTTGAAACAAGTAATATTTTAAAAAGAAAATGGTTCTTTTTTTGCTTTTGCTTCTTAGGAGTATATGCAGGAAGAATCCAAAGAAAGAAGCCAAATGCTGTGACAACTTAAGAAGGCAGCATTCACTGGGCTAAGAGGTTGTTTTGGTTTGTCTGTACATATTCTCCACTGCTTCAGATCTTCCTGCTGTTACACACATGCTGATGGTTGGAAATGTTTGTGACATTAGTTTATATTTCTGAGTGATAAAATGAAAAGAATAATGAACAGCACAACAAGCTGAAGAAGTATTTATTCTGCATACTTCAACTCTCTTATGAGTGGTGGTTACTGATCTCTGAAATGATTATTCATTCTACATCCTCAGGAAGAATATTTGTTTTTTGCAGACTTGAGCCTATACTATACTTTTTATAGTGCAATAAATACTCTTAAAATGGCAGTTTATATGTTCTGCATTAATATGTGTTCATATCATTCTGTGAATTAATTTATATGAAAGGAAATGTTCAGCCGTGGCTGTGTATGAGCTCTGTTATGGCTGATAAGCTTTAACCACACAAAATCTTGGCCTTCGTCATGTGGGAGCTGATGTTGGCTTTCATTAGAAGGAGGTTAGCTTAAGTAGTGGTGAATGGTGTTAATCTTGCAGCATCAATAGCATCAATTTCTGCCTTTCTTTAAAAGTAGCTGCTTTTTGTATCTTTTTTCTTGTTTAGTAAAAACTTTGGATAATTACCGGAGAGGAAGGGTACTTACTCTCTTCTGTCATTTGGGGTAGGATTATTACAAAGCCCTTTTGGTTTCTGGGGGCTTCTTTGCTGTGTTTATTCAAATTGCAATACAAACATTGAGCACATTTTTAAAACCAGCCATGGCCCTTAAAGCGATACTCTTACATTAACAAAGCCATTGTTGAGAAAGAGGCTTAAGTAGATTATCTATACTTGCTATTTTAGGCAGTGATGAATTATGGCTTTGAAAAGTATGGTCATGTTTAGGTTGAATCCGCCAACTGTTACTAGCACTGTATCTTACTAACATAATTCATTGCAAAGCAAACTGTACATGAATGTTAAATTGGTATTAACGTGCTAATACGGGAAGTTTCAGATCTGGGACTGTGAATGTTTGGTTCAGATTATTTGATGTAAATGGAAGCATTTCATGAACAAACTGGAGGAAAATTCGTATAATGAGGCATCTATCATTAATATGGAGATGTCTGTAAAGCGTATTCATTATGTGCATCTTCTAATGCTTTTGTGCAGTCGTCCCCACCTTGGTGCCCTCCAGATGAGCTCTATACCTTTCAGAGCAACAGATTTGGAAAGTCTGTTATCTGTCATGCAGTATTTTAAACTGTCTGGGGATGGTAGAACAGTGTCAACTCATAAAGCTATGGTGGAGATGAACAAACTGCTCTGCAGTTCTTTACAGTAGTGGAGTGTTTACACATAATAAGCTCGAATTGCTGGCTTATCCTGGTTCACTGTGGTGTTTTATTTATTAGATTTTTACCCTGGCCTGTCAGCCGTAAGGCTTCCATATGTATAGTTTGCTTTCCCCTTCTCGTGAACAGGTAAGACACGTCAGAAATTGAAAGCGTTGTATGACATCCAGTCATACAAACCTGGCTCCAGGTTCCTTGGACCCAAGCAAGCGAAGATTTGTTAATCTTGGCTTTTTGGGAGCTACAGCCAGAAAGCCTGGGTTTGGGCATGACACACACAAGGTGGTCAATTTTTATTTGATTTACTGCTTGCCTGTATGGAGGAGGTTCGTACAACCAATCAAAAGGGGAGCGAGTCACCTGCATGCCCAAGCATGCTGCCCATTCACAGTAAACTCAGGATAAGCCAGCAGATCTGGCCTACTGTTAATGTGTGAAAGCAACTCTGGCAGGTCACCTGTTAAAAGGGCCCTACTGGCTTAGTTATGCAGCACAATGCAAGCATTAGTCACGGAACTAATTATAAATGGGTTCCTATATAGTTGTTAGATACTACTTTTGATTCTTAAATGCCATTGCATGACTTTAATATTTCCCTTCGATGTATGAAAGAAATCAACAAAAAACAAACTAAATGCATCTTATGAATTGTGGATGTTGCCTTGCAAATTAGGAGTAGACTAAAGCTTGCTTGATAATAACCATGCTAAAAATTAGTTAAAACTTGTGTGTTGTGTGCTGTGGTGTTAATTTAGGAATAGATGAGTGCAAACAAGTTTTGAATACAAACAGATCGCTATTTTGTGCAAATACATCAAGTACACTTCTTTCTTTAATTTTAAAGTCTGTACTAAAATGTCAAATGTTTAACTGTCACAAGGCCTTCTATGTACAAGTGCCAGGATCTCTTTTGTAACTTGATATGTTTTATATTTATTTATTACCTTATTTTTTTGTTCATTTTTTAATTTTGAGTGAAATGCAATATTATTACAAAGCATATTTTTGTAATTTCATTTTCATCCATTTTGCTCTTTTTTTCTTAAGCAGATTGCACAATAAAACTTTTTAAAGTGTATGATTTTCGTAACTCAGATTTTTTGGGGCAAAGATTTTGATCGATGGCTTTGAAATCAACAAGACTACGTAACATGCAGTGGAGTTCACCAACTTGTATCAATACTTCAGCTATCATAAAACAGCATTCAGCATATCCCTTTTTGACAGCTCTCCCCACAGACATAATTCCTAGGACAATTCTGAATGCTAAATGGTGTGTGTACATTCAAACAACCCCCCCCCCCCTTTCCCCTCCCGTGCTCTTGTTCCTTTCTGGTTACTCTTATCTTGCTAGAAAGTGATGATTTAAAGAGAGACTTTTAAAATAATTTCTCCTATGTACATTCACCTGTATTTTTGTGTGTGTGAGTATGACGCTGTGTGTATATATATGCCTGTATACACACTTTTCTTCTCCTATATAATATGTTCCAAGATTTCAGGTTAGATAACCACACCCACATTCTTTTTGAAACTTGTGTGCCAAGTATAATCATGAAGATTGGCATGTAGGAAGTTTATTTATTTATTTAGAGTTTTTGTATCCCGTCCCATCGCTTATAGCCTCGGGATGAGCTTTATAAGTTGCCTTATAAGGTCAGAATCTTTGTTATCGAGCCCAATACTGTCTACTCAGACTGGCAGCAGCAAGCAGAGGGCTTTTTCGAAGTGGAAATTATTGCTTTGTTGCATGCAAGGTATGAACTTCCTCTGCTAGCAACTCATTTATTTTCATGATTATACTGCAACTCAAGAATAGAGATCAGCAAACGTCAGTCTACAAAGCCAGATCTGCTCCCCACCTCTGAGCAGTACCACCTGTGGGGGCTGTGGTAGTTGTGGGAATGTTTCTTTAAGAGATGCCCACAAAAGGAGAAACAAACTTTTGGCTGTCCAAATGGCCATTAGAAGGTAAGCGGGGCATATTCTATACTCTTGGTAAAGCAGTATCATACCCTGACTTGTAACATGTAGAATAAAATTCTGAAATAAGGATAATTTCTGGTAAAATACTAATCTGGCCAGGATGGTTGCTCCTTTAGCATCCACACGGTCCTAGACTTTTAAAAATTGTATTTTAAAACAGTGGGATCCAAATGACAATTTACAAGTTCAAATGACTTCCAGCTCAGGCTAGCCAAGGCTGATGTTTGAAATCCTTCAGCCTTTTCAGACCCATCCGCAAACATGTATTTGGGGTCTTCCTTCTTCCTTTTCCTCCTCTCCCAGTCCATCTGGCAGTGTAGTGAGGTGGGCAGGTGCATTCAGACCAAAGCCAGCGGTGCAGCAGGTAATGCTAAGCGACGCAGAGCAATGGGCTCCCAGCAATGTGGCTTTGATCCATGGGGTGCCAGGTGAGAATCGCAGGAGCTGCATTCTGTGGGAAAGCAGCAGCAAGCTCCCCCCGAGAAGTCTTGCAAGTCTTAAAAGTCACAGGCATCTACCCAGTTAAAAAGAACCATCCCGCCGCCTATGAAAGCCGCCCCGCGCACGTGAGTCTGTCCCGAGTCCTGGCGCTTGCCCTCTTCCATCATGGCGGCTCCGGCTTCCGCGCGAGGAAAGGCAGAAAGCGGGCTGCGCTATGGGCGGGGAGTCACGTGAGGGAGGCAAGATGGCCGCTTTTCCTTGGTAAGGACTGCGAGGGGGTGCAGGTACCCTCCGCCCCCTCAGACAAAGGGGTCGTGAGAGACACGAAGCGGGCGCGGGGCGTTTCTTCGTTTCTTTTGCTTTGCAGAACGAGCGTGGCAAAGTTTGGAAATGTGGAGAGTTGAAATGTGCAGGGAGGAAGGTGGAGGGGGGGCTTGTCTCTCTCGACCCTTTGAGGGGAGATGTCTGGTACTTTGTTTAATAGGATGCGGCGGGGCCGTTGGTCAAGTCTTCTTTCTGGGGCGTGTGCACGGGAAATAGGCAGCTTGGAAGAGGCTCTGGTTCAGGCAAGGGTCGAGTGTGGGTTGTTACTGAACAAGCGACGGCACAGATTTTTGCCACAGATTGTGGGAGCTGCTGCCAGTCGTGAATGCAATACTGGAATTGGACATATTCTGACTGGTACAGGATCCCCTCCCAAGTTCCTTTTCCCTGTGCACTTTATTTTGGAACGTTGTATGCTCTGTGGAAGAGGCAGAAAGGGGGAAGCATCTCCTGTTGCGACAATTGAGATGTGGCCCATGTCTCTGCACATGTGAAGCAGGATATCTCACGGGTTGCTACTGGGATTGGAAGTGGGCACAGGCACATTTGGAAAGAACTGCATGTCATGAGCGGAGCTGTCTGGAGCCGGGGTCAGACTAGATGGCCCGGGAGACCCCTTCTGACTCGTTCTGTTTCTATGTTTCTGTGAATGCTAAGACATGCTAGAGCTGTGTGTTAATTTCAGCTATGTGTTACTGTGACACAAAGGGCTAGTTTTCATTCAAGGGGTATTAATATTAATATTATTAATTTTATTTCTACACTGCCCAATAGCTGAAGGTGAAGCTATTGGGCAGTGTACCACAGTTGATAAAAACAGTAAAATACATTAAAATAACAGTAAAAATATAAATGGACACTTCAAGTTTAAAACCAAGTTTTAACTGCTAAGGCATGTTCATAAGGCCAGGCCTGTTAGAAAGTGCTGGCAGTAAACTTGTGTCTGAGCGGTACATTTGCAGCATATTAAAAAAAAAAACTAATGCAGGAAGGAGAAGGCATAGCTAAAACCCTTTCTGTGCATCTGCAGTATTGTTAGTGACCAGCAGTACAAGGCAGCTTCCATTTAAACATATGCAGACTGAAAAATAGGTGGAGATTTTTATCTGTGCAGTTTCCTTTGTAGATTGTGAAAACACTGTTATCATCATAATTATTATTGTGTTACCTTCATATCCTGCCTTTCTTCCTCTTGCAAGGAACCAAAGCCAGCTTACATAGTTCTCTTCCGTTCAACATCAACCCTGCAAGGTAGCCTAGACAGATAGGCCCAAAGTCAACTGGAGCACTATTAGAATGCCAATCTTTCAGGTCCCTTCAGTCCACCCTTCCAACCACTACACCACACTTGCGCTCTTTGCATAACTCTTTCAGTGTAGTGCTGCCTTTTTCTATGGGTTGTTTTGACATAAACTGCCCTTCAGTTGATTTGACAGGACGGTGGAGAGAATAAAAGAAGGTGTGGCGGGATGGAGGTTTCTTGCAAGCCCATGGCTTTTGTGAGCTATTTTTCCAATGAAACCAAAATTTGGTTCTGTGGAGGGATCTGTGTAGTCCTCAGGTTTTTAAACTGACTTCTTTGGAATCTAAGCCATTCACTAAAAATTGCTTTAGACTGGAGAAAAAGGTAATGTAAAAGTAATTTCTTCCAGCATCCACTTGGTGGCACTGTTGGTTAACCTTAGGAAATGAGTGTTCCCTCCTTACTATGTTATCGAATTTCTGTGCATTGCAGGATAGCATGTTGTATATTGTGTTACTTAATATTTAATGTTACAACACAATATTCTGTTACTTAAGTTCAGATATTTTCAAGGTTACTGGTATCAAGTGCCAGCTGGTTAGGATAACTTGGGCCCTGTTATTCCTGCAGCTCCATACATTCCTTTGTCTTACTGATTGTTTTATGATCCTGAAAGGATTATGCTCTTAAATTTGCATTTTAAAACTTAGTCTCAAAAGTTGATTACAATGCAGAATAAAGAAAATGAAGTGTATCTCCTTATTCTTTGTTTCAGACTTTCTCACCCAAGATTAGACAGGGTTTTAAACATCTAGAGCCTTTCCCAGCTGGTGCCTTCCAGCTTCTTTAGGCCACATCTTATGTTATCTCAAGTCAACAGGCCAACAGACATGCGGGAAGAGGATTGATGGAAGGTGTAGTCTTTCACATTAGAGAGTGCCAAATTGAGAAAGGCTGGGTTAGATTTTTAATATACAATCTGATGCAGGTTTAGACAGAAAGAAGTCTGACAACTCGTATTCTGCAGCCAACCATGTTTTGAGATACTTGTGGCCCCCCCAGATATTAAAATACAAGTCTCACCATCCTGGACAATTGGCTATGCTTGGCCTGCTGGGAGCTGGAATCCAGCAACATCTGTCAAGCAACGATTTCCATACTCTTGTTGTTGTTGGTCAAATTTATATACTGCATTCCACAGAGGTATCAAAGCAGTGGGCATAAAATGTAATACCATTCAAACAGCAATAAAAGGCCATGATAAAACACAATAATGGAAATTGTAGCGGGCAGTAATACTGCGCTTCCTGTGGTTTGCTCAGACCACAGTTGGCTGGCTTACCATATTATATGGGGTTTACTGGAAAAATGGTAGGAGGTTATTAAGGTTCAATAAGCAGTATAGTGAAATTTCTTAGCGACCAAAAATCAAGATCGAGTTTTGGAGCAGCCATGGCAGAGCTGGCTTTTACCTTGTTAGGAAGAGCACCAGAGCTAATTGTCTTGGAGTTGCTTTTCCAAAATATGTTTCTTATAGATGTGAGAACCAAAATTTATTCCTTTAATGAAGCAGTGTTCACTTCCTCCCCATGCCCCCCCCCCCAGGAAGGGGGTGAGAGCCTGCATGTACTTATAGCCTTTAAAACAATGGGAGAGAGGAACCTATGAAATCCATGGCAAGAGGCATTCTCTTTTCTTCTCAGCTTTTGCTGTAACTTTTACCAGTCACTGACAGCTGATGATCATTTTTCTTGTTCAGAGCTTTCACATGTTCAAAGTGTTTGATGTTATATAATTGTAATCCTAACAACCACCATGTAAGGAAAGTAATAATCACCCCAGTTCTCTGGGAAACTGAGGCTGAAGCCACCTGGCAAATTCATGGCGGAGGGAGGATTCGAATGTGGTACTTGCTGATAGGTGGTCCAGTCTCTGTCATTATACTATGCCAGCTATCCTTTTAAGAGGTTGTGTATGTGTATGGATGCTAGTGGAAAAGTAACATGGGCACCTGGCACCAGTATCTAATTTGACTCCTCTGAGATCCAGGTGTCCTGTAGAACGGTCCACTCAAGAAATATTAGTTCCAGCAGAAAGCACCCATGCATTCATGCAGTCCCCTTTAAAGCCCAGCCCATGAATATATAATACAGACCTACAAGTTGCTCTGCATCTCTTGGACAAACAGACTTAATATAAATTTTCAAAATTTAACATCCTCCTTTCCCAAACAGACATACAGTAACTGATTTCCTAAAAACTGGATTGAAGGGAAGAAAGCAGACCTTTTCTTTTTGTCGTCTTGGTTTGTTCTGCAATAGACTCGTAGTATTAAAAGTTTTGCTTTGTACAAATTTACTTTCTGTTGCTGCCTTTAGATTCTTCCAAGGTGCAGTGAAAATGCTGGGTTTTGTGAAAACCTGAAAGGAACCCTCTTTCTTGCCTAAACCCTTTGCTCTTAATTGTGAAGGTTCTTACACATGCTAATTAGTTCAAGGGGCAAGTGAAGTAGCAGAAGGTTGAGGCCCATTGAAAACAGCACATTCAAGACAGTATTTATGCATAAGCAAGGCAGGAAACTGGAGATTAAGAAACCTAGAGAGACAGGCGTGTGTGCTTTCCTGAATTCTCCTTTTTCCTTCTTTCACAAATATCTCATTAGGTTGTAAAGCCTTTCCTTTCAGCACGACTGTTCAATCTTTCTTCTGAATTCTTTGAGATTTTAAAGAAAGGGTTGCTGAAATGTGTTCAGGGAAATGACAAGTAGGCCAACTGGTTCGTTTGGCCTTCAAAATACTGTTTTTTTAAAGCAAATGCTGTCTCTCGCTAGAAGAGTTGTGAGCTAAAGCTGATTCGCAGGACATGATTGGCTGCTTATTTTCCCCCTACATATTGACCTTTTGGACATACCAGTTGATAAAACCACCAATAGGACAATCTGAGTCCTTTTGGTTGGTGAAAGAGGCAGCATTGCTGTATTGATCTCTTAAGACTTCAACTGAAAGGACAGGTTAAAGGTGATGCAGACAGAAATATTTATTGAAAAGGGTGGATTTAAGTGAGAGAATCCCATAGGACAAGGCAACAGCAGCATGTATAAATGATTTTGGAAAAGGATAGATGGAGGGAGCAGCTGGCTGGACACTGTGGGAGCACATTGCTGGACTGGGTGGGCCCTTGGTCTGACCCAGCGTGGCTTCTCGAAGTTGGCATGATAGGCCCGGGTGGCTGCGAGACAGAGTGCCCCGAAGTACTGGCGTTGCCCTAAAAGACTGACTGCACATTAAAGTTTACCAGGAGATTCTGCCTTCCAGTGGACAGAATGCCAGAGTCGCGGGTCCTTTCGGCACGCTTGGCATTTCGAAAATGGTTCTGGGCACCACCGCAAGATGGTTGCCCTGGGAGACTTGGCTGGCTGCAGGCGAGTGGTTGCTTGCCTGCCTGCCTGCCTGCCTGCATGATGAGGGCTGAGCCAGAAAGCAGAGGGCACGATCCTGTCATGTCTAGGTGGGAAAAGACCTGCAACTTCAGCCCAGCAGGCCTTTTAAAAATCTGAGCCTGTGTTGGGCCGTGCCTGTGAACGCAGTTCATTTGAGCACAGTCCTTGGCATCAACAGAAAGCCATGTCACAGAAGGCAAACTTTTCCTCTCCCCACATTCCTCCTCTGCAAATCAACTCATTCCCACCCTCTTTTATGCCGCCTCCCTGGATCACTGTCCACAGGTTCCTTTCCTCACACGCACCCTTTCCCAGTCCCTCTGCATTTTCTAACCAGCTCTCTGAGCCCAGAGGCATTGGTGGGAAAGCCCGATGGCAGCAGCTAGAGGCCCCGCTTTGTTCTGAAGTGATCCCAGCTACTGCTGAGAAAATGTGTTAATTTAAAACGAGCGATATGGGTCGGGCCCCTTGGCAGGTGCCAACAGAGATGTTGCATCGCACATCCTTGGAATAGCCCACTGATCTGACCCAGCATGGCCGTTCTTGGGATGTTGTTACAGGCTTCTTTGGGGATGCAAAATACATCACTTCTTGGCAATGAGAATTACAGGCAATTGTTTTTATGTCTGACCTGGATCAGGCCACATCAGGAGGCAATGGTCTGAATCCTTCCCACTCCCCAAAATAAGTAAGGTGTAGTTTTGCCCAGGGACCGGCTGCAGAAAGCCTCTCTCTTTGATTCTAAAAGGAGCACTGTCTCATTTATCATGGAAAATCAGGGCTGTGTGTACATGTGATGGACTTCTATACTGACGAATGTATGAGATTCCTTAATCCTGTATGAGTGATTTCCCACATAGGACTTTTGATTGGTATTTAAAATATTTCCTAGCTGATGTTTGTTTTTTTTAAACTTTTCTATCCCATCCCATTGGGGTCTCAGGACGGTCTTACAAAAAAGCAGAATAGAGCACAGCACCCGCATAATTTCTTATACAATACAACCCCACAGTTAAAATCATAGCCAATCCTTAAAATAATGGGAATTTTTTTTAAAAAGTCTTAGCCTGGCACCAAAAAGAATAAAGTGTCAGGTAAACTTCTCTGATAAAAATAAATTCAGTGCAAAATTAGTGGCCAGGTTTTTTCTATTAATCGGCACAAGGAACACACAAGATGATCCTTCCCCCTTATAACTTATATGTTATTTTAAATTTGTGCCCATGCAATTTATTTAGCTGTTCTTAATCATTTTTGAAATGTTATGCATTTTCTCAGGTCTCAGGTATTTCCCGTACAATAAAGATTGATTAACTTCTATACTGTCCATCAACAAAATGTACTCTGGGACCTTCACAGATAATAATTCAGACCATCAAGTATAAAATAAAAGAGATAGGCATTCCTGAACTGTGTCTAATCATATCTCCTAGTCAATTTTATGTTTTAGTGCTGGTTTTTCCTCTCTTCTAGATGCTAGCAACATTTCTACCTGCTTATAGTGAAAAACATGTGGAAAAACTTGAGACAATGCTTTTCTTTCACTGTGGTTTTTTTTCTTTTTCCATGGTGACATGTGTGTCTCTGAAAAATATGTAGGTGCTTGATAAGTTCTTTATACTGTTTTGTTTAGGCATGCAAGACCAAGAAACTATGCCCATGAACTGGAATCCAGCAGGCTGGAAATGGTGTCTGTGGAGTTTGGAGACTATCACCCACTGAAACCCATAACAGTAGGTTTCCTTTGAAATCCTACACAAACGGTCCATAGTCATGTTGGATGATCTGAAAAAAAAAAAAAAAAATGGAAAAGGCATGGTGAGGCGTGGCAGGCATGTCATGAGTGCTGCTGACTGGAGCCAGGGGTCAGACTAGATGGCCTGAGAGGACCCTTCTGACCTCTCTCTCTGTGTTTCTAAGAGCAACTAGTAGAGGCATGGGGCCAGTTTGAGTGTGGCATCACTGCTTCAAAGGCCCTCCTTAGAGATGCCCACAGCTCCATAAGCCATCTAATGCCTGATGAAGGTCTTGCTGTTGAGAGAATGTCTGGGGAAGCTGAACTATACCATTTGCAGTTTACGCCAGGGGATGCTAACATCTGGTTTATATTTTTATATATTTATTTATTTATTTATTAAAACATTTTTATGCCGCCCCATTCGCCAAAGCCTCGGGGCGGCTTACAACAATAAATGAAAACATCATAAATAACTTTTTAAAATATATACATTAAAATAAGATACAAATATACAATATAAAATAAGCTGCCCTGGCCCGATAAAATTCAATAATATTATCATTTAAAATGCTGCTTAAATAAAAAGGTCTTCGCCTGGCGCCGAAAAGCAAATAACTGGCGCCAGGCGGACCTCTCTGGGGAGCGCATTCCATAACTTAGGCGCAACCGCTGAGAAAGCCCTCCTCCCTCCTAACTTCTTTCACGGAGGGCTCCCGGAGAAGGGCCTCTCCCGCCGATCTCAGGGGGCGGCTGGGCATATATGGATGTAAGCGCTCCTTCAGGTAACCTTACAGGCCTCCTCTGACCTGCAGGGTCACCCAACAAGGCTTATGTCATCCAGACCAGAGATCATGGTCTACCAGTAACTCTGGTAAGTTCCTCCTCCCTGCAATAATAATAATAAAATAAATAAATCCAACTTCAAATCCTGATTTATGGAACATTATTATTATTGTGAGCCGCTCTGAGGCTTTGGCGAATGGGGCGGCATAGAAGCCTCCTAAATAAATAAATAATAAATAAGAAGCTGTTAGAATGTAATGTAATTAAATTATGATCTCCTTTTCATTGATGGTATAGACATTAGCTTTCTACTAGCTGGGCATGGATTTTATCGAAAGCCCTGATTTACTGCCAGACTGGTTTAGAATCAGGCTTTGTCTGGTATGCATTTTAGTTCTTCACTTTCCTAAATAAGTAGGCTCAGGCATGCTTAGCTCTGTTGCAGTCTTGAACTTGCTATTGTTTATTACTATTAAATAGATTTTTATATTTCAACCTCTTTCTTCTTCGTAGCTCTACATTTGCAAAGGACTGGGCTACATGTTTCTCAGGCATGTTGCAGTCTCTCTAGCTATTTTTCTGTTGTATGCTCAGGTCACTGAATCGAAGACCAAGAAATTGGGCCGTAAAGGAAGCACTTCCTCCACATCCTCCTCCTCCTCCAGTTCAATGCTGGATCCGCTGAGCAGTGTGTTGGATGGCACGGATCCTTTGTCGATGTTTGCAGCAGCTGCCGAGCCAGTGCTCCCTGCAACTCTGGTGACTGTCGTGACCCCCAAACTTTGGGGTTTTGGGCTGCAAAGGATTTCGATGAGGATGGATCACAGGCAACTTACTTGGGGGTAGTAGGGTTATTCAGGGCCGTCCCAGACAGGAGACACAGCCCTGCCATCAGCTCCTGGCTCAAAGGATGGTTCCCAGGCAGAACCTCTGTCTCCCTGACCTCAGGGAAGTCTCTCGACCGCACAGCCGGACAAGGGCCCTTCCACGGTTGAGGTAGCTCCTTCAGGAAGGGTGGCGCTCTCTGCTCTGCCCATCCCGCCAGCCTGCTTATGGCTTGCACTGGCTCCAGCTACATATTGAGACAAGAGGCTCCCATTGTTCTAGTATGGGGTGGCCAAACTGAGGCTCAAGAGCTACATGTGGCTGTTTAAGTTTATTTTGTGGCTTGCCGCTCACTCCTGCAGGCACCCGTGAGTGCAGCGCCTGCTTGCTGTCCCCTTCCCACCGCCACCCGCAGGCGCCTGCTTCCCGCTTGCCCCATGATACCCCATGGGTGCCCACTCGTGGCTCCCAAACGCCTGGCAGCCACTGTCTGTGGCTCTTCCACCGAGCAAGTCTGGCCATCCCCGTTCCAGGCAGAGAGAATTCTCCAGCAGGGCCCACTTGGAGCTCTCCGTGGTCCTGCTTGCTTCCTTATTCGATTTGCAGTTTGGCCTTGCTCTTGTTACCAACTTCCCCTGTGAGCATCGCGAGACCGGAGACAGGGCCAACAAATTTATCATCCTATTGATTAGATTAGACTGAAATGAAACCGATGATGGCTGGGCTTGCACCCTGCAAGGGTTTGGGAGTGAAATTGCACTAGCTGAACATTTTAGTGATGTGCAAATATTACAATCTCTTCCTTTTTTTCCATAGGAGAATGCCAAAAAGAAACGTGATAAAGAGGAGAGTTTGACTGTAGGGAGTGACTTTGAACCATGGTCAAGCAAACGGGGAGAAATCCTTGCTCGGTACACAACAAATGAAAAGCTTTCAATTGTGAGTGGATGTCTAGTTATTGCTTCAAAAAGATGGATGCAAACAATGCTCAAATGCTCCCAAGACAATTCTAGTGGACAGCCTATAAAAACTTTTAATAATACTACTACTAATAATAATACACCAAGGATCCAGCACACAAAGGAAATGACTACTGGTCTAAAGACCAACGGCACATATCATCTTCAGAAAATGTGTCTGTAGAACTATATAATACTCAATTGGTGGAAGAGCCTGTGACTCCCAAAAGCTTGCACTATGCACTGTGAGTCTTAAGGAGGCCTAACGAATATGTTGTCTTACTGTTACAAAGCTACTGGTGGGAGGGAACAATTAACTATGGACATATTTTTTAATAAAATGGTGTTTGTTGCATTTCAGAATTTATATATGGGATCTGAAAAAGGTAAGCAGACACTCTCCCTTTTCAACTATACAAAGTGTGTTAAAGATAAACCTCAGAATCGTTTTATCTTTTCCTATTTTTATATAAGACACTTTAGGCATCAGTCCAGTGAGGATGTCTGTAATTCTCCAATCTTAGCGGATTGGGGGCATCCTAGGCATGCCAGGAAGAGTGCAGAAGAGAAAGCTGTATTTGCACTCCTTCTTTCCTAGGCTGTCTAAGGGTTCAACCTTGGAGCAGGTGGCAAGGAAGGCAAGAAGCATCTGCCCTGGCCCCAAAGTCCACCTCTGAGCTCACTCTTGGGGCCTTGGGGCAGCTTCTGTGCCAGCTGCAAAGGCACGCAAGGATTCCTTAAAGTCCATGTCCCTGTTCTAGCCTTGGAGCAAGGTCCTGAGGTCAGAGGTTGACTTCCAAAAAGTCCAGTGCCTGTATAGATTCTCTTCAGTGGCCTCAGGGACACTCTTTTACACAGACCACTTGGTTGCGGGGATATTTAAATGGGTCAGGTGCTTCTGGATGAACTCGAGCCCCATAATTTGGTATATGGCTAGTATTAGAGCACTCTCATTATTGTGGGCGGGGGGGTGGGAATGGAAGAACTGGACAGTTTTGCATTTATTTTCCAAATTAGGAGACTTAACAGAACATCTCAACACTGATATTTGACATGTAAACAATATACAACACCCCAAATACTGCATGACCCCCATTTCTGCTGGTTCAGTTACCGCGTTTTCAGTTAACTGTGATTGACCTTGGCCCAGAAGAGAAGTCATAAATTGTGGAAGGAAATCTGAAAGTGCTTCCTGTGAGCAAAAATCCTTGATTTAACAGGGCAAGGAAAACAATGTATGCCGGGGTAAGAATGAATGAAATGTATATAGCTTGCATCCATTCTGAGTATATAGCTTGTTTGGGTTTATTCTGTGGCTTGCTGCCCACTGTTTGGTGCCCAGGGCCACCTGCTTGTCGCTCTCAGACATCTGACATTTACCGAATGTGGCTCTTCTGTTGAGCAAGGCTGGCCACCCCTGGGCGTTCGCTGTTTTCCATGGTTTCAGGCATCTGCTGGGGAGCTTAGAACAGCTCTCTGCAGATACAGGGGCCCTGCTCTACTAGGAAAAATTAATGGGAGGAAATAAGTCCTTAAAGTTGAACCATGAGCTATGATTTTTTTAAAGTCCCTTTTAAAGACATCTCTTGGGCATTATGAGTACATCATTTACATGAATCCAAACTTAATTATTGTTTTTCTTCAAAAACTGCATGGACGGGGTGGTTCTGACCTGGCTCAAGGCATTTACACATATAATTACCTGCAGGAAAAGCATCAACGCCAGGATCAGCAGTTTCTGAGAAGGTGCGGACCAGGCTGGAAGAGTTAGATGATCTTGAAGAGGTGGGCAAAACTTTGTGAGGGAGACATTTATCCCTTACCTTTCTATCAAGTATTCAAGACAATTTTAATTTAAAAATTGTAAGATAAAAATCAGTAAAATATTACTAATTACACTATTACAATAAAAATACTGACATAAAATATCAGTAAAATAACCACAGTTTTAAGACTAAAAGAGCAGGAGGGAGATAGAAAAATTAAGGTCGGTAACCAAAAAAATGTGCTGAAATAAAATTGCCTTCACTTCAGTGACTGCAATCAGTGGACAGACAGGCCTCCTTGGAGAAGGCTGCTCAGATTCCTGGGTGAGACAGCTAGAAAGAACTCACCTGCGGTATTTCTGAAAGTGGGTGGGGAATGGGACGGTGTCATGCAGGACCATGTGATTGAAGGAGATTCTTAATATATTTTGGTCCCTGGCAGTTCACGTCTTCAAAGATCAAAATGTCTTCATCCTGACAGCTTGATGCATCACCTCTCATGTCTGCAAAATGCATGAGTTGAAGGAGATTCCCACACAGATTAACCCTGTTAGCTCACTGCACTAATTTAGCCCTTCCCATCCTGTTGCTCTCCAGATGTTCTGAGTGCAACCCCTACCAGCTCCTGTTCAGCATCACCAACGGTCTGAAGGGAAAGATAGTGCTAAAGCATTGATAAACGTTCTGTCAACAGAGATGTTCCCAAGTAAAGTGAATGGTTTGTACTGAATGCGAGGGTTGAACGATATGACACCAGAATTATTATTTTTTAATTTTAAGTATATTTATGCCCCTCCTGAGCCAGAAGTCTTCCCAGAGTGCCTTTTGCATAATCAGTTAATTGAGACGGCAGCCTTACAATCAAAACGACAACACACTAGGAAAAACAAGTGGGGAGAGAAGTGGGCAGAAAGTTGCCTTTGACTCTGTTTATTTCCCTAATGACGTTTTTCTTGAGTGCCCTTTATTAATGAAAACTAAACAAAACCTTATGATAGTTCAGTACTAGAAATCTTGTAAAGCAAAGTGTGATAAGACATCTAATGGGATATTACTATTCACACAGTCTGTGTTCTGGCGAACACTGTCTCTTGAGAAGCAAGGCATTTGATGCATCGATCCTGTAAATTGTGCTGGGAAACAAATTAAGAGATTCTGCCCAGGATAAAACAGGCAGCTCCATTTGTGATCTTTGGGCACAAAGGATGCTGGCTGGACTTCTTCAAAGGCCACCCAAGTGTATTTCAACTCCCAATGAATTTCAATTATAGTTATGTAATCTACCAGTTGGCAACTCTGCGCATTCCAGCTCTTTTCGAAAGTGTGGAGGAAGCTTTTGAAAAGGAAACTGGCTTGTCCTGTTTGTTAATAACGTACTGCTTGTGCCCTTTTCAGGGGTCGCAAAAAGAGCTACTAAATTTGACTCAGCAAGACTACACTAATCGTATTGAAGAACTCAACCAGTCTTTGAAGGATGCATGGGCCTCGGATCAAAAAGTAAAAGCTCTAAAGATTGTCATTCAGGTTAGCATTACAGTATTCTGTACATATAATAATTGAGGTTATAACTTTTTGGAGAAGTGTGTGTTTCAGGATGCTCCAGGTGGCTTGGTTGGTTGGTTGGGTGGGTGGGTGAGAGTGGGGGTGAGGGACTTCAGCTCCCCTTCAGCGATCCCACCATCTGCTTGATACCTTGCCCTTCCCCCTGGGGCCCAGCCTCCACCCCGATGGAGGAAGCTGAGCAAATAGAGGCTGCTGTGTTTTCTCCCTACTTGGTGAAGGCAGGTTATGAAATAAGAGTGCAGTTTAAGGGCTGGCCAAGATAATAATGAATATGTAAAAGACCGACAGTAGAACTCAAATAGATTTTACATTGTTACCAAATGTGTACAAAATCTGTACTTCAGAGGTTTTGGTTTCCAAATGTCATGTGCCAGGTTAATTTGAATGTACTTCTGTACAAAAGTACGTATTTTGCACAGACAGAATTAGATTATTGAGAAGTGTTCTAAGTTTAGCTTTCTTCAGCCACGCTAGTTGCTGGTGCACAACAATTTTGGTAGAACAGCCTTCCCCAACCTTGCGCCATCGAGATGTGTTTGGACTGCAACACCCAGAGTTCCCAGTCAGTGGCCCTGCTGGATGGACATTCTGGGAGTTGTGGTCCGAATGCCTCTGAAGGCCACCAGAGGCCTAAAAGGATATGCTACAGACCCTTGCTACGTAATAAGCAGTTCAAGCTATCCTTTAATAATTTTGCATAGTGGGCGGTGTATCCAATCACCCTGTAATTGATCTGTCTTCTCTTTTTCTCTCTTCCCCTAGTGTTCTAAACTTCTTTCAGACACAAGTGTGATTCAGTTTTATCCAAGTAAATTCGTCTTGATAACAGATATACTTGACACCTTTGGTAAGCACCGAGCTATTAAACACAATTCTTCCTTACTGAGCAGTGGTTGCTGTTGAATAAGGAAGCCAAGACAAATCAGAGTGGAAAGTCCTCCTAAGCAGGAACAAAAGATCTCTCTTTCACGTCTCCACCACTTCCAGTCCCTAAGAAGACGGACCTTTCTCAAGCCCTTACAGAAAGAAAATCAGAGCGTAGATGTTGTCAGAATTCCCTAGCAGAGCGATTCCGTGGTGGTGGAAAGGAGATTCCATGGCATGGGTACTGCCACTTCCCAAACCCGTCTTGCTCACCCTGTCCAGATATTTAGATACTTTGCAGATATTTTGTAGATAGTGTTTTGAAGATCTTCGAGTCGATTTAATATATAGCATATAGAAAAAAGCATCCCTGTTTCTCTCCAAACCAAAGTGGGGGCAGGAGACTTCAGCTAAGGAATAAAAAAGAATGGGAAAAGGAAGAGTTGTACATGAATTATGATCAGACTTGATTCACTATTTTTTACACAGTTGTGATACTGACAGCACTCTGCTTCGGGGAGTTCAGAGCACTCCACTTCCATTACTTTGGTAATTCTTACAACAGTCCTGTAAAGGAGATCAGTGTTATGATTCCCCATATTGCAGTTAGAGAGTTAAAGCTGACCAGTAAGTAGTTTATGTCAGGCTACCTGTGGAGGTCATAGAAGAGGGCATAAGAGAACTTGGATTACAACTCAGTTTTCCTAGTCACTACACTAGGTGTATAAATTACTTCTAAATTCAAATGGATATGTTTTTAAAATATAATCCTCAGCATTTCCCACTGCTCCCCATCCAGGTAAGGATAAATGTGTCCACTCTATTTCAACTATTTTGTATAAATATTTATGGACGTAAATGTTACATACTGATACCTTCCCATGTATCATTTCATTCAGTGGTGTGAAAGTGATTATTTTACAGCACTGAAGCTCAACAGAAAGTTGTGTTTTCTGCAGTGCCTTCTGTGAGACGCTTCTGGTTGTGGGGTTTTTTCCTTCTACTTTTCCATATTATGTTTCCCTTTTAAAGATCTCAATTTCCCGCAAGTTGCTTACACCAGTCAAATACCTTTGGTAGATCAAGAGAGCACCAAATGTTCTTTTCTGGGCAGAGTAATGTGACCTGCCCACAGAGCCGAGTGAATTCAAGCCAAAAGCAAACATTGTCATCACCTACAGAGCCCGCTTGTGCTCCCTGCCTTGGGGCCGCCATTCCTCCTTGACATGGATTGTGCCCCCGCATAGCCACAGGGCTGTAGGTGTGCCACAGACCCGGTCATTAGTGCACTGGCTGCGGTGGATAGAACTGGTCTGTGCCGAAAGCTTGAACTGACCTAGAGCAGAACACCACGGACTTCTGCATGGGAATCTTTGGGAAACAATTCTGCGTATGCGAAAGGACTGGATGAAGATCCGTCCCTTGGTGCCCTTTGAGTATGTCAGACTATGGGTGCTGTTATCCTCTGCCAGCATGGCCGCAGTCACAGTGCCTGGGGCTGATGGGGCTTATAGTCAAGTACAGCTGGGAAGTCAGGAACTGAACTTGGGGCATTTTGCATGCAAGGCACGGACTCTCCCCCACCAGGTTCTTGCGTGATGTAGCTCCGAAAGGTGCCCTAGGTAGGCTGGGACAGTGGAGACAGCCACACACAGGATCCAGTTTTGTTGTTGTCCATTTTTTGCGAAATAGAACAGACTGAGAGGCTCCTTTTTAATAGCAGTTTGCTCTCCTAATGCCTTCTTCACAAAATAAATACATAAATAAAAGTGTAGGTGAAACGGAACCTTTGCTCAATTTCAAACTCTGGTCCTCTTATTTAGAAGAATCTACTTAAAGCTAAATGACTCTTGGCTCATATTCATGTTCCCTTTTAGTTTGCGTTCAATAAAATCCTGGAGTTAAGTAATTTTCAAAAGCCAGTATCAAGTAAGAGAATGTCATCTGAAAGAAAATGCTACAGATGTCTCCATGAGGGGGCAGTGTTATATCATTGGAAAAAGTACATTGTTCATAGTGATTAGAATTAGAGGAGGCACTACATACGAATGCTTCATTGAGTTAGATTTCTAGCCCATGCTATACTGAACGCAATTTCTCAAAAATCAGCATTAGTTCTGCAGGAATGTCTAGGATAGAGAATCTAGTTACTGAAACATCCAAGGAAGCTGATTTCTGACATGTCTCGTTCTATTACTATTTCTTACCTCCATATCCTACAACCACAGAATCAGAATAATGGAGTTGGAAAGGGGCAGAGGGTCCAACCCTCTGCTTAGTACAGAACTCCAAGTCAGACCATCCCTCTGGTGTTGGCAGTGTTGGTGCTAGGAAGACCTCGGTGGGGAGAGTGTTCCGCAATCAAGGAAGGTGCTCTCCCTTGCTGCCTGCCTGCCTTTCCTCAGGGTGACATGCATGGATGAGGGTTTTACTGCTTTGTCTTCTCAGCAGCTCCGTGAGAGGGAAAGCAAGGTGGGAGCTGCCCTGCCCACATGTCGCGTGCTAAGCCACCGTGGGAATCAGCCTCAGCACGCTGGTCATTCATTGACCGACTGGTGGTAGACCTGACAGACGATCACACTTGGAATGGCTTGTTCTCCCTTTGGTCTTCCAGGTGGTATCCCAGAATCCTCCTTGGCAGAACCCATCTTTGCTTCCACTCCATGATCTGATGGCTATCCTTTTTCATTTGCCACTGGCAGTACAGTTCTCATTTGAGCTTAATTCTGAAGCTCAGACCTAGCCCAGATTTAGTTCTGACATCTACGTTTTCTATCTAGCTATATATAACTAAAACCCTATTTTGATTTGTCATTATTGCTGTTATGCAGGAAAGCTTGTCTATGAAAGAATCCTTTCCATGTGCACTGACAATCGCAACACTTTACCAGGTAAGGTTGGTTCCCCCCTCCCCATGGTATTGGCACATCCACATTTAGCCTGCAATCACGGACATATTTGCTGGAAAGGAATTCCTGTTGAACTCAATTGAACTTAGAAGTTCTTGCAGGATCATGCTTTTATCTGTGAAATTGTTGAAGATTATATAACACTAGCATTTCTGTTATGTACTGCTGTAAGATTGGCTCGGGGTTTGTTGTCAAGCATTAAGAGAGAGCACATGCAAATGTTATCTGACAGATGAAAATGCTTCAAAGAAAAAAAGCTAAATCAACTTTGTTAATGAAGAAGAAAGTGAAACACAGTTGCTAGAATTACCGGAACTTTAACATTCCTTGAGAATTGCTGTGCTGAATTTTACAATTCAAGTGTAGGTCCTCATATATTGGAGCTAATGGTAGAAATTTAATTTCATTGGGTCACGATTGCATGCCTCCCTTTTAAACTAGTTTCTTGAACTACTGCTTCTGCTCTTTTCCCTGCCATTTTCAAGACTGCTATTTCTTTCTACAAAATGGTACGTGTAAGGTTTGAATGTTTTAGAGCAGGTTGCTTTTAGAAAGAAAAGCCTTTTGAGATTAACTGGGGAACTCTGGCAGAATAGCTCCACAGGTGAAGATTCTCTTTCAGCTTAAAGGCTAAAATCCATGTTGGAAAAACTCTTGGGGCTGCATTCCCATGGTGGATGGGGCCAAAGGTAAAAGGATGGGGCCCAAAATCCCAGTACATTTTAGCTTGAAGCTCTTGCAGCAACTTAGGCATAGTAGAGGGCATTTCAACCATTTAGAACAGGGAAAATCTGGCACAAAATCTGGGGAACCACCAAATTATCAGTGGTTGGAGGAAGGGGTGTGCCTGGAGAGTGGAATATGGCAATTTGGGGGACCCAGATTGAATGTTAGATTAGGACATTAAACCTGAAGTTCTTCACCCTGAGGCAGGGAAACCGGGCTGAGACAGACCCAAGGTCTGATTTAGTTATGAGAGAGATTCTTATGTCGTTTAAGTATGTAAAGATATAGCTCTGGAGGCAGAACAAATGTAATTCTAGCCAACCATGTTATCCTTGTATTCCTGTTCTTTTGAGAAGCACAGGTGAATGTACATCCCTAACTAATGATGGAATGAGAGGTTCCAGCTCTGTGTAAACATGCACCTTTTCCCTGCGCAGAGCTCTGCTTTGAGCAGCTGTGTGTGAAACAAGAACATGCTCATTGGTATTTTGTGCTCATTCTTTCCATTCCAATAAAGTAAAAACTTCTGATTTAGCACCAGAGTTCCCCCTGCCTGCAGCAAACCAGGCTGCAGTGGAAGCTGGTGCTCACTGAATCGTTCCTAAATGTGGAAGGAACGGGAGATAATTGCAGCGGTTTGGAAGGGATGCACTTCTGATAATGAAACCGATGCTTCATGATAAAAATGTGTCAAGGAGGCTAGTCTTGTTTCTAAAATATGGTTGGTGCTTGAAAAGGTATTTTAATACTACATGTCTCTGCAGTTAACCCAGAAAATCTGTTCATTTGTTGTCTGCCTTTTTCTCTTAAGCAACTGGGTTAGCATCCTAGAAGTATCAATTTACATGCCTAATCTGACTGTTTTTCTTGCATTTCCTCAAACAGCTGCACTAACTGTGTTGTCCTTAACCGACTTGGCTGTTAGGGCATGCTTGAACTACAGACTCTGGGTCCCCATAGCGCACTGTTATGTAAAAGTCCTCAAGTAGCTTGCGGGGTGAGATGTTGCCAAACGGGAGAGAATTGCATTCTCTCTCTCTCTCAAATTTCTGCACAGGCTTGGCATTTTCTAAGCAGAGAACAGCACGACAGCAGAATAATAAATGGCTGTCTCCACTTCCGTTCCATTGAGCCAAAGCCTCTGTTGCTTCTACTCTTTCTGTGACTGAAAACTCTTCAGAATGCAGCGAGGGAGCCTCTGCCGCCGCCGCCACTGCCCTGCCCCATGCCATCAATCCACTTCCTTCTACTTCGCATTGCAATGAGAAAAAAACGGGCCTCTTCCAACACAAGAAAAATATTGTCACAAAGGAAGCATCTTGGTCTGAGGCATCTGATAGCCCCAAAGTGGGTCAACCAGAATGTTGTGGGAAAAGCAGAGTGAGCAATTGCTTGTGAAAAATGGTTGGTGCGCTGCGGGAGTGCACAGGATGTGGCCTGATGCCAGGTGAAGCTATTTGTCTGTTTATTCCAGGGATGCACAATTTTGGGGGCCTCGAGAGCCACCTGTGGTGCTGGCTTGGGGGCTGGGGGCCACACGCCCTTGTGCGCTGGCCCTCCGGCACATGCACACACAGGGAGACACATCCCAGAAAGCCTAGTCCAGATGGCTCTCTCTTTGCAGCTGGCAGTTGTGGGAAAAGACAGGAAAAGAAAAATATCAGAATGGTTGGGATGGGGATGGAGAATGCAGGCAGGGGTGTCAGGAGCAAGTCACACATTCAGGGCGACAGATTGTTCCTTGGCAAAAGCACTTCATTCACCGGAGGACTTTCAGTGAGTGCAGCCAGCACAGAGTGAGTCTTTGAGCATTTACGGAGCATTTTGTTGAACCCAGTCTAGCAACTGCTTCTGGGAACCCTGCCCCTGGGAGGCCCCTTCTGGAGGCAGGCCAGCCCCTTCTCTGAACACTGCCCTTCTCTCCCGGCACCGTGTGGGATCAAGGGTCACAGTCTTGGCTGCTTCCTGGAACTCTTGCCTGACAGCCCCCCACCCCCGGCAGTTGTTGCTCCTGGCTGTGCACCCAAACATTTGGAAAGGGTGTCCTTGAGATAAGCCCCTCTGGGAGGCCCCACCCTTCCTCTTCCTCACTGAATGAGTCCCAATCTGCCTGCCCTTGGAAAACGCTCCAAGAACAGCCACCGCTTTCATCCCCAGCAGCGGGGAAATCAGGGTGTGAAATCGTACGCAGATGCGTCCTCCTGGGAGGGCACCGCAGAGGCTTTGGGGAGCTGCGGGCGCATGCGCCTGGCCCATTCCTTGCATTGTCCGGGCAGTGGCTTGCCAGGGTTTCAGGTGGTGACGGCGACGGCGGTGTGCGCGCATTCCCAGCTCTGCTACATATTTAACTGCAGATTCCAGGCGTCAAAGCGCAGGACCTCTCCCTGTGGAATGTGCCTGCCCTGCATGCAGTTTGTATCCTTAAGTGATTCCTATGCTGAGATGTTGAAAGAACTTAAAGGGCAGCCGTATCATTGTACCAACAGGGTGAGTTAGGTTACACAGAGAGAGAAGGAATGGGGGGCGGGGAGTGAGTGAATGCCTGGCCCCCAGTCACCCCATGGTTTTTGCGGGTCCGGGTTTGTACTCAGGTGTCCCTAGTTTAATTCAGGCTAGTCTAACCACATCATCCCATCGGTGCTTTAAGATCGGTTTGCTTGAAACGTCGTTTCTTGCACTGTCTTAGTATTTTTCCTTTCTACTTTGCACATTCTTTGGGTCTGTTTCACTATAAATAAGAGCTTTGTAGGATAAGAAATAGATGCAGTACCACAGAACCATTCTTTTTATATGGCGAGAGAGCCATGTTCTGCCTGTATAAAGATGTAATCGTACATTGTTCTGATACTGGTAATCCCAAACATCTATACTTGGATCCAAAAAGTCCCCAAGAAATTTTGAAAACGAGATGGTATTTACTCTTTCACGTTTCTTCACAACCCTGTGGAGTGATCCTCTCCTGCATTTCTTGATGCTGTAATGACTTGATATTTTTCCTTTTCAAAAATTTTGGGCAATGGGGAGGCAAGCGACTCAGGTTCCACGAACTGTTTCCGTTAAACTGTTTTCTGTTAAGGAAAAGATATAAAAACAAAATGCTAAGCATTTGAAGCTCTAATTCCCCAAGATCAGCAAGGAAAAATGTAAGCAGACAGCACATTCTAAATATTGGATGTTACGTAACTGTTCTTTCTACAGTGTCATATTGGTTTTATCTCGCATTTATGGGCACCACAGTAAGGCTTAGGGGAGTTGCTCTGTGCAAATGCTGGGCATCAGTGACACACGCTTGAGGCCTGTAATTCTTGTTAGCGTCTGAGGTCATTTTTATCCCTTCCTGCATCTTTAATAAGCTCTTGGGAGAAACTGTGAAGAAATACTGTGAATTAGGCCCAAGTGTTGTAGTTGCCACACTTATAGTCCAGCCCTGCACACGTTAGCCGAGAAGGTCAGCTAAGTGTGCAAATGATTGCAGTCTCAGTTGCACAGATACATGTACCAGCAAAAGAGTGTGCGCATTAGTCTTACAAACTGATTATTCCTAAAATCGCGAGACACTGTAGCAACATGCAAAGGTTCTTTCTATAGGCTCGCAATCTAAAATTAAAGGCAAAGTCTATCAAAATAAATACATTTGACAGTAATAGGCCACCGTAAAAAAATCAACTCATTTATTATGGCATAGGTCACAGGTAAGGAATGTTTTTGTTGCCTGGGAAACTTGTTGGGGGATGCATGCCAGCAGTTTTAACTCTTTCCCAGCAATGGGGATCAAAGTATCCCCAAAGAGGAGCACTGCCTGGGAGAGTGCTGGAGGGCTTGCCCCAGAGGAAACCTGCAAGTAGAAGCCTTGGCGAACTACAACAGTGTGGGTGAAATATTATTCTGAGTTACAGGTTGTCTGACGTGTGTAAAACAGTTGCCAATACAGGACAGACAAGCAGAGAGCAGAAACGGCAGTGGTTATATTATTCACGATGGCCAGTTAGCACACTTGCTGGCGCTGGGTAAACTGAGAAACACAACCGGTATGACCGGAAAGCCCTTATCCTGGTTCAGCCTGCAGGATATAGCATTGAATTTCTCGATGAATTGTGACTTTGAGGTCCCTGATTCGGATGGCCCTTTTGAGTTTTTTTGCTCAAGAATGACCACTCAAAAGCCAGTGTCTGTAATTAAGGTAATTACATTTGACCGAGGAAGAGAGAGCAATGTCAGGCTTGCAAACTAAGGTTCAAGGCAGGACACATTAAGAAGGAAGGATTGAAAGACAGGGTTCTAACAAACAGTCTGCCCTTTTCCTAACTACAATAGCTGAAAGCCAGAAAAGTTTTCCAATTAAAGGAATTTTAATCATATTTGCAAGGATTTATATGATGTACAAGCCCACAAAGGTTACTAGCCTGCAAAAACCTTTCAGTAACTTGCTGTGGAGGTAAAACAGGGAACCTCATAGGGTTGCTGTGGGGCTAATAAGGGCAGAGAACCGTGTCTGTTGCCCTTAAGTGCTTAGGAGGGAGAGCAGAATAAAATATAATGAACGCATAGTATTCTACACTGTCAGCATGTGCTACACAGTTTAAATTAAAATCAATTTCCGTGTGTGAACTCATGATGTCCTGGTGATGTGGCAATGTTCTCTTGCAACCTCTGCAGTAAAATTAAAATGATGATGATGATGATAATGATAATGGAAGGGAAAAGCTCTGGGTGGTAATACATCTTTGTAATGTGAGGCCAAAAATAGAAGAATGTTTAATGAAAAATGGAAGTTCCCAGTTACTGTATGTTTGGCAAACAATTGTTTGATAGCCCTTGAAATGATAATAATTTAAATGGTGTGAAGTTCTAGTACTCATCGTGCCATTTTCTTAGAACTGTATGTATTGAGCATAGATCATTTGATTCAGAAACAAATTGAGGAAGTAGGCTCTCAGTTTAATCTTCTCTCCGTTTTGTTTTATCAGAAAATTTTACTCCCGAAAGCGTTAATGATACTGCCAAAGAAACTTGTTTAAACTGGTTCTTCAAGATTGCTTCCATCCGAGAGCTGATTCCCAGATTGTATCCTTTTTCAAATAAGACTCTTAAGATGATGAAAATGTTATCTTGATTTTGCTTTAATTTCTTTTTTAAAAAGAAAGAAGGAATTTCACATGTTGACTTGGGGTTTTCCACATAAAAAAGAATAATAAACAAGTCTCAAAAGGTACACATTCTTTGGGTGCCAACAGAATTTACAATTCATTGTTAAAATAGACATTCAGTTTTACCTGGCACTTTCCTTTCCTTAAATTCAAAAGACCAAGAGCCATTCTGGCATAATATTTGGAGCAAACATTGGTAAGCTGATATCTTCCAAATAATTTGGGTCACAACTCCCATCAGACCTATCCAGTATGACCAGTGGAAATGATTTGTGGGAGTTGTCATCTAAAATATCTGGAGGATGCTGGATTACTTATACCTGCCTTAGAGTTAGATTTAGAACGAGGAGTACTGGGTTTTAATCCCTCCCTCCTAAGGCTTGAGGCTCTCATTGCTATGGGGCCTTATTTCACTGTCTTTAAGACTACTCTGTCTTGCAGGGTTGTGGGGATAAATTGTAATTGTGGTGCTGGTGACACTGACTGCCACCTGACTGCCTTGGAAGAACCCTAGGTAGGCTTTTAAAAGATGTATTGAAATCGAAGACCATAACGTCTTTTGCAACACATGCTAAGTCCATGTACCTTATTTTCCCCTAGTAATATTTATTATACTGTATTCCTTCATTTCATTTGCTTTGTGTATAGTACTTTAGCTTGATGCAAAGGAGGCAATCTAGGGATTTTAAAATTTGTTTTTATTATGAGTCAAAACTGAAACACACTTAAACCAGAAAATAAAATAGTGCCAGAGTTTTCACAAAGTGGCTTTATTATAATGAATGCATATATACTATATTTTTATACCTCTATATATTTTACATATCTCAAAATATACAACTGTTCTTAGAAATAGTTATACATAGACTTCAGCAAAGGCAGTACAGATATCCATATATTTATCCATTTGCCAATTATGCCTAAAGACTCCTTGTTAAAAAATGGAAAGTTTCATTAAGTCCTCAATCCATTGTTCTCTTGCAGATGGCCTTGGTTGAAATATAGGGAATTTTATGTATTAAGCAGTAATAATTAATACAGTTTCTTCAGTGAGACCTTACCTGTTTATTCAACGTGGTCCCCTGAGGTGTGTGGGTAAACAGAATTAAACAGGTACTTGGGTGCTCTAGCCATGACACTGCGATCGTATCCACCCTAAAAGATCCTCAAAGTCAATAGCTGAGTTCCCAGAACAGCCCTAAGTTCTTGTTGGCTTCCTTTGGCGTAACAAACCAGGATCTCGGATTGGTACATCATGTAAGGTATCCCTTCTCAGTTAGTTTTATGCCAGCTTGTGCTGAAGGAGGAGCAGATAGGCTGTGTGTGCCAGCTTATTGCAGGTTTGCAGTAAGCCAAGATAAGGCTTTGCCGACTTATTGTTATTTATTAACGTAGCTGATAATACCAAAAATTGCTTTTGCTCCAAGGCAGATACATAGCAGGGACCTCTGGATGAATCAGAAGTCATATAAATACTTACAGTTACTGCAAATGTTTACAGTTAACATGTTTCATCCTTAACTGTCCATGGCAGGAAGCCTAAATTATATGTATATAGTTTTATAGCAGTTAGGTCACCCTTGAAACTGAAGATATGTTTTAATTGTTAAGGGATGTTTTACGTTTCTGACAAGTATTTTATTTTGGACTGTTTCCATAACTTTTTGATATAGTTATGTGGAAGCAGCAATACTGAAGTGTAACAAATTTCTGTCTAAAACGTAAGTATGGTTCTGTTTGATAAATATTGGATAAATGTGGCGTACATGGAAATTAAAGATGTGAATTATGTCCATAGAATTCTCAGGCTCCTACCAGTTTTGCCAAGCAGCCTCTGGTGCCACGATGAGGGCCTGGAGTTCACACCCTGAACTTAGAGCAAGTCTGGTTTGGGTATTCCTGTCTGCACTCCGATGGGCTTGAATGTCCTTTCAGTCCCACCTCCTGACGTTTATTCATATTTGATGGCATTTTGGTGTTGCTTGGACTGTTCTACTGAATTTTCCCAAATTGTCCTTCGCGGCTTTGGCTTATCTGTAACACGGACGTTATTGAGCATAAATGTCTCTCGTAAAGCTCCCTGTTGCACAGGCCAAACTTCCGGACAGTAGTAGGCGAGAAGCAAATTGTGGCTCAGAGAGCCGTTTTCAGTCTGCCTCTTCCATACGCCTGAAATTGCCATTCCCGTAACACTGCCTGCACTTGGTGGCTTCCTGAAGAACCAGGTCTGGAATCCTGCTGAAACCCTTCTATAACAGAGCCTGCTCCTTGATCCGTTGACTGAGGAGCTCTGACCTCGGGGGGCAGGGCGTTAGTGCCCTGGACCACAGTGCTTCTTTGATTCCATGTGGCTGGTGGCGTGCTCTGGAGGCCCAGCAGGTTGCATCTTCATATGGCCCTGGTTCCCACAACATGGCAACCTCTGGTGGGTTGTCAGGCTTACTCGTTCCAGAACGGCATGTTGTGATATCCGAGCCTAGTGCAGCTTCCTTTTCTAACCATGCATCAGCCGCTCTGAGAGCAGCCTGTTGTGCTGTTTAGATTGGCTTGTTGTGATGTGTGAACCTGGGTGATGGCTTGTTCACGGCTCGTGGTAAAAGGCTACAGAGCCTCTTGGCAAGAGCAGCAAAGAACCTGGCTGCTCTTCTTGATGATGCTAATGCTGACCCCTCTAGTCACCATACCCCCCCCCAGGTGTTCTTTTCCTAGACCCGTTTCCTCTCCCCCAGGGAGATTTGTTCAAATTTAACATTATTTTTAACTTTTGGGGCTATCTGGCCAAATTCACTACTGCACAGTAGCTATGCTTTTGCTTGGTGTCTGGAGTCTGCATTAAGCTGTGTGGTGGTCAACTTCATGACATGGCTGGAGAAGTCATTAAAGGAAAGTCCTGTGATGCTTAATATTAGTCTTGCTTCTTGTGTGTGCATGTTCCTGTTTGTGTGATTTTATGGCTGATGCTATAATGATGGTATGTGGCTTTGTCAATTTGTATAGAAAACCAGTATTTTAAAAGTTAACAGTTATGCAGTCTAACTGAATTCGTATTTTCCTTTGTTGCTTTTCATACTATGCTTTAGGCTTTTTCTGTTGCTGTTGTTGTTTTGTCTCCTTCAATAGCCTTTGGCTAATGTTGTTCCCAAGGAAAAGTTGAATTTTGCATTCACAAAACGTTTTATTGTGCCCTTTGCTGGCTGTTGAGTAATACTATTGGTCACCTTATCCATGTGGCTTTTGCTGGCTATTTAGTAAGACTCTTATTCAGCCTTTTAAGTTGTCAAGAGATGAATGGTAGGAGCGGGTGAAATTAAAGTACTCTCTCAAACCATCTTTTCAGGGGGATTTCAGAATGTCTCCCACGGTTGACCTCCATGATCCGAGGAATTGGGGATCCTTTGGTTGCAGTGTATGCTAGAGCATATCTTTGCAGGGTAAGATTTTGTCATTTTGAAATGCGGTTTTGTTGGTAAGCAAGGCTGGCCCAAGAGTTGCTGCCCTCTGGAACAAAGGACAAGGTAGCACCTTGCTGATTTCATGTACAGGAGGAAGGAGGACCAGCTGTTGTTGTCAGTGCTGGTGATGGAACATGTCCTGCACTGCACCAGGTGGCAGCAGGTTAGTTTAGAAGGTGCAGGACTGGCTTGGCAGTGAACAGAGCTCTGCCCTCCGGATGGGGAATGGTGGAAAGGCTGGGGAGGAATGCCTGGGAGCGGTCTCTGCTGCTGCTTCCCACCTCTGCAGTTGTTGCTGTTGTCAAATCATTTGAATTGCATTGCATTGCATTTATATCCTGCCTTTTTTCCTTTGTGGAGAGCCAAAGGCAGCTGACATAGTTCATGTTATTCTCCCAACAACAACCCTGTGAGGTAGGTTAGGCTGAGAGTGAGTGAATGGCCCAAAGTCTCTCAGTGAGCTTCATGGCCGAGTACATACTAGAACCTGGATCTCCCAGGTTCCAGTCCAGCACTCTTCCCACCACACTGGCCTGACTCTGCCTAATGGTAGGGCTGGTTCTGGTCCTACAGAAAATGATGGGCTAGTAGAAGAATATATCCAGACTCAGCTTCCAGTTTCAGCTTCATTCATTCATTTATTTAAAATATTTATATGCCGTCCTATTGCAAAAAGCCTCAGGATGGCTTTCCACATAAAATATAACATAAATAAATTCCCGACCCACACTGGCTGCAGTTAAAAACATAGAAAAGACAACATTAAAACATATTAAAATACCGCTGGAATAAAAAGGTCTTAACCTGGCGCCGAAAAACAAATAATGACAGTGCCAGGCGGATTCGCCTTTAGATTTGCTTTTAGAGTATGAATCATCCTACTTCCTAACTCTAGGAGAATATCAGCTAGGTTTGTGCCCTGGCTGTGGTTTGCGTTCTTCAGTGTCCTGTGCTTACAATGCAGGCATGCCCTCTGATTACTCCATCATCTAAAGTTCATCTTATTTCCCTTCTTTTCTATGTACATAATTGGCATTAGTTTAATAAAGCCCATGTTTCATCTTTTTAGGTGGATCATTTCTTAAAGTAGTTTTACACATGCCCGAATGTGTCACAGCTGGACAAATTTAATATATTTGTTCTTGGAATGTAGGTTGGGATGAAAGTAGCACCACATCTGAAAGAGAGCCTGAACAAGAACTTTTTTGACTTCCTTCTAACCTTTAAACAAGTAAGTGAGAGGGGATGATGTTGCCGGCTATGCTACTGAAAGGTTTTTTTGTTTGTGTGTTTTCTTCTGGAGGATGGCCAGCAGATCTTCTAGACATGCTTCCTGTCTGTGCCTGAGACTTGCACTGGATTTTTCAGTTTATGTATTCAAATGGAGTGATCGTTCTCTTTGTTGTTCAGGACCAGCTTCCTGGCTGAGATTTTTTTTTTAACGTTCTCAAAGTACCTAGTAATGGGCTTATTTTGTACAAATTTGCTAATTGGTTCTTTGGAATCTGATGATGATGAGGAGGATGCACCTCCTTTGAGAGAAAGAAGTGACTACATACCATTGCATTTAATTTTGTATTCCAATTTATCCTGTAAGCTGTGGGCACTTAGGATACTTTCAGGAAAATCAATAATATCTGACTGAATACCAATGCATAAACTTTTAAATACAGCTCCATAGGTTGTTCCAAACTAAATTGGCCACACTTGATTCCTGCTGAAATTAATGGAACATGTTGGACCAAATTAATCTGGATCCAACCCGATATTATTTAACCCTATCTACTATGAGCATGGTCATAAAGAAAACCCTTCACCTTTGAAAGATGTATAGGGTTCTTCCTGATTAGACTTCCCGATTAGACTTCTGTTATGCGCTCTACGTGGGGCTGCCCTTGAAGACGGTCCAGATACTTCAATTGGTGCAAAACAGAGCTGCCAGGTTGCTGACAGGGACTGGGCGTTGTTCTCATATAACCCCAGTCCTCCGTCAGCTTCACTGGCTTCCCATTGAAGTCTGGGCCCAATTCAAGGTGTTGGTTATGACCTATAAAGCCCTCAATGGCTTGGGACCTGGTTATTTAAAGGAGCACTTGGGTCCATATCTGCCCTCCCGCCCCTTGAGATCGGCAGCAGAGGCCCTTCTCCGGGAACCCTCCATGAAGGATATTAGGAAGGTGAGTACCCGGAGGAGGGCCTTCTCTGCGGCGGCGCCCCATCTATGGAATGCGCTCCCCAGAGAGGTCCACCTGGCGCCATCATTATTTGTTTTTCGGCGCCAGGCCAAGACCTTTTTATTTAAAAGTTATTTTAATTGTTAATTTATTGATTGTATTTATTGGGTTTTTATGGACGTGCTGAGATGTTTCTGGATTTTAAGGCTAATTATATAATTGTTTATTTCTGTTGTAAGCCGCCCCGAGGCTTTTTGCGAATGGGGCGGCATAGAAATTGTTTAAATAAATAAAATAAATAGGGTAATTTAGCCTGGAGGCCAGCCGTTACAAATATCTATAACCTCTCTGCATAGCTAGACAGGACACTATCAAGGAGTCTCTTGGGGGATCAAAGAAATTGCTCAGCCTAAGGCAGGGGTGAACTGACCACAAGCAATTTGTGTTGTTGCTGTTGTTTTTTTACTAAACTCCTGAAACCCAAGTATGCCTTAGGGGGAAATTGTAGATTAAGCAGGTTGTTGAATGCGAACAGTTAAGGCATCTGTAAGCACATGCTTATCCCAGAAAGCTCTGATTAATAACCAGAACCAAGTTCTCAAATTCTTTCACATGATCATTTTGATAGCCAAGGGCGCAGAAATGACTTTGAGCATGCCCCCTTCAAAGCGCGGAATGTAAACATGGGTGTACATCTGCAAAAAGAGTTTTGAAATGTGTAAAACACATGCTCTGGTTCATCTCCTTCCCAGTTCCTCTTTCAGTTTGCTCAAACTGGTCATTTATTGCAATGACCCAGTCAGCTCAGCTGGTCTGTGGAAAATGTTGTACAAATTGGGTAAGTTGCTCAAATTTGGGGAAACTCATGGAAACTGCCGTTCAGTTGCTGCTTGCCTTGCGCAAGTTTTCCACTTGTGAAAAGCGTGCAGCGGTCACTTCCAAGATCAGGCGTGAGAGGTGACTTGGTGATCAGAGAAACAGAGACCATAATCAGGGTTGTTCCACCCTGAAAATTCTGCTTGGGCAGAGCTGTCTGTGGTTCTGCACATCCTCTCTGTACCTTTCCTCACTGGGAAAGGAGAGGCCTGAGGAGACTGGGAGTTCTCACAGCTCTCTGGACTTGGCATTCACACAACCAGATGAAATAAAAACAACGAGTCCCTCAGAGCAGGCCTCTCCTTTTGCTCCTTGCTTGAAACAGGCTTAAGTGTGTTCGCTGAGGTCAGTGTTGAATTTAAGGGGTTGTGCCCAGAGTGAATGTAGAATATTATTTTCTTTCCAAGAGTTGAGGAGGTATTTTGTTTTGTTTTGTTTTTTGGAATCATGATTATCTTTGATGTTTTAACAGATTCATGGGGACACTGTTCAGAATCAGCTGGTACTGCAATGTGTGGAGATCCCATTATATCTCACGCTCTATTCTCCTGCAATAGATTGGATTCTACAGTGCATCTCTTACCGGGCTGCAGAGGTACAGAACCCATTTGCAATACCGAAAGGTTTTCAGTTTTAACCAGGTCAAAGACCTGATACAGCTGTTGGACTCAGTATAGCTAGGAACCACTCTAGTTACTTTTACTAAGTGGCTCAAGAGAGCATATGATATCCTCTTCCGGTTGCACTGGCTGCTGGTTGGAGTCTGAGCCTGATTCAAGGTGCTACTGCTACCATTCAAAGCCCTAAATGGCTTGGGGTCCTGGTTATCTCTACGATTGCCTCCTTCCATATATACCTCCCCAGAACCTGAGGTCACCTTCAGAGATCCTTCGCTGGGAGCCCCTTCCAAAGGAAGTGAGGTGGGTGGCTACCAGAAGGAGGGCCTTTTTGGTCATGGCCCCTAGTTTTGGAATGAGCTCCCCAAAAAGTTGCATCTGGTGCTTACTTTGTATTCTTTTTGGCACTAGGTGAGGACCTTTTTATTTCCTCAGCACTTTAACAATCTAACTTTAGCTTTGGTTTTTCCTGCTCCTTGGTGGTTTTAGTGCTCACCTGAGCAGCGTGCGGTGGGACCAGTTGGGAGACAGTGAGCTTCAGCTCCGCTGTTCCTCATGTTTTCTTCCTTGCCCGCTCACTGCTCAGTTGATCATTAAACAGATGGCTGAGGAGTGTCGGAGGGAGAAGCTTTTTAAAGTTGAAACAACATCTTTTTAACTTTGATAGAGTCCTGTAGGCAAAAACAACTTCCTTCACAAGATAGTACCCACTGCAGGAGTTTCCAAGGCAGCCAGGGGAACTTGTTATTTTACTTTGGCTCCTCCCCGTGTTTTTCCTAGTGCTGCTTTCTCACCCTGATCATGCAAATTGCACTTCCTTTTATTTTTAAACCCAATCAGCATAATATTAAAACCTCTGTAAGGCAGTCTGAAGCAAGAACTTAATTTCTGTTGAGATACTACCACATAGCAAGGAAACGGGGGAAAAAACAAAAGCAAGCCAGTGGGAAATCTTTCAGTTTTATCCTTTCCTTCTGTTTTCCATTCATCTTTAAAATAAAAATTAAAAATCAGATGCTCTGGTAAAGATCAGTTTTCTTCTTCACATTTCCAAAGGGGTGTTGCAGCTGCTTGGAGACCATCCTTTTGTTCAGCTGATTGTTACAAGTGATCAATCTGATCCTCTCTGAAAGGGAGCATACAATGGGAAGTCTCCATCCTTGCCTGTTGGAAGGCGATAGCCTTTAGCTTGTGGGAGAGGCAGAGCACCCGCTTTGTGGCAGCCGAGTGGATGGTCAGAGAAGCGCCTGGCATCCGCGCGGATTCTTTGTCCCTTAGCTGGAGGCAGGAGGCTGTTTCGCATGGCACGAGGGCTTGTTTATAAACGTGCTGTGACATCTGAACCTGGCGAGGGTGGGTGGCTGAGGTTAGGGGACAAGTGGCTGGAGAGCAGCACTTGTGAAAGGGACCTTGGGGTGCTGGTTGACTGCAGACTAAACGTGAGTCAGCAGTGTGATGCGGTGGTCAAGAGGGCGAACGCCACCCTGGGTTGCATAGCCAGAAGTGTGGCTTCTAGATCGAGAGAGGTATTACTACCACTCTACACGACTCTGGTGCGCCCGCAACTGGAGTATTGTGCTCAGTTTTGGGCCCCTCCTTACAGAAAGGATATAGCCAGGTTGGAGTCAGTGCAGCGTAGGGCCACAAGGTTGGTGGCCGGTTTGCAGGGGATGCCGTATGAGGCGAGACTGAGGGAACTGGGTCTCTTCAGCCTGGAGAAGAGGAGACTCGGAGGGGATCTGTTGGCGACATACAAGTATGTGAGGGGATGTCACATGGAGGTGGGTAGGGACCTGTTCTCCCCTGCAGAGGAAGGCAGGATGCGCTCCAACGGAGCCAAGCTCAGGGAGCCAAGGTTCCATTTGGATGCCAGGAGGCACTTCCTGCCAGTCAGGACTCCGAGGGTGTGGAATGGGCCTCCACGAGAGGTCGTTGAGGCCCCACCGGTGTGGGTGTTCAAGGATAGGCTGGACATGCACATGGTGGGCATGTCGTGAGCAGACCCGGCTGGTGCCGGAGGTCAGACTAGATGGCCTGGGAGGCCCCTTCTGACTCGCTCTGTTTCTGTGTTTCTAATCCTGCAGCAGATCATGGGTTCTGATCCATTTGTTAATCACTCCAGCCACCCGCTGTGGCCAGGCTTGGGCATTGCAAGAAACTGCACATGAGGAGCCCCATTTGGGAGTGGGGACGTCACTGCAACTTATTAGCTACCCCCGCGCCATGTGGGCCCCATAGAATGTCAAGGCTCGTATTGCCCACTTGCAATGGCAGAGGTTCTCTGGGATCTTGAGTGGAGTGGAACTTCTTCCCACCACCTGCTACGGGATCCTTTTAACTAGAGTTGCCACCATCCAATTTAATCTGGGGCACATCTTGGGAAGGAAAAGGTCTGTGACATGTAGCACAAGTGTCTTTTTAAAAAACTAGTAGCTGTGACTGCTCAAAGGGAAAGTCAATTTTGTGAATTAATATTCTTGTAAGTAATCCCTTGGTTGGCTGGTTCTTTTCCCCCCATCTCATGAAGTTCTTTTCTAGGTTTTGTTGACTGAGATGATGGAAAGGTGCAAGAAGCTGGGCAACAAGTAAGCAGTATGCTTGCAGAGTTCATTCTTGAAATTCATTCTTGAAGTTCTTATACCTATTGTGTCTGTTTTTGCAAGGGGATGTATTTTGGGGCCCAGTGCAGAGAGGCAAAACCTGCCCCTTGCCCCAAACATTGGAGTCCCCAGAGGTACCTTTCGCCTCCCAAAGCCCTTTATTGAACCCCTCAGTGCATTCCTTGCCTTGCTTCCATGTAAAGGAGTGGGGCTGTTGACTTGCATTGGATGCGGAGGGTAGAGATGCAGTGTGCTTGGGAACGGTGTCCGTGTGTGTATATGTATCAGAACCTGCCCACCAGCTCTTGGTCTGTTTGGCCAACCTCCACTGGCCGTGATCTTTTGAGAGAGCTCAGTTTTGGGAAACCGACCAGGTCACCTCATGCCAATCTGGTCCACCCAGTCGCTTATATTCGTAGTGGTAGCAGCTCACGCCCCTTAAGATCGGCGGGAGCGGCCCTGCTCTGAGAACCCTCCCTGAAGGAGGTAAAAAGGACATCTGCTCAGAGCAGGGCCTTCTCTGCGGTGGCGCCCAGATCATGGAATGTGCTCCCCGGAGAGGTGCACCTGGCACCAAGTTTATATTCCTTTCGGCACCAGGTTCAAACCTTTTTATTTAACTGTTTTTTAAATTTAAAAAAATTAAATTTTAATGTCTAACAGTCGCTTTTATTTAACTTATTTAATTTGTATTTGTTGGTCAGTTGTTATTTATTGCTGTTTTATTGTGGTTGTTTTAATGACTGTAAGCTGTCCTGAGTTGCCACGCAGAAGGGACGGCATACAAAAGTTTTAAATAAATACATACATAGATACATAGATAGGAGACCCTCTGCATGCAGAGCGTGTGTCCCTGCCACTGCTTTGTGGCCATGAGCTGCAGCCTGGATGTGTGTGTGAGCACACATGCACAATCACGGGCTCTCTCTCCGCCATCCTTCCTAGGGGCGTTGCACTCCAGCCCATTTGAGGGGGACCAGGTTGGGGACGGCTTCCTTAGTGACAGGAGTAAAACAGGTCTGCTTGCCCTGCGCTAATCCAGATGTTCTTCCTTTTAGTGCCTTGCTCTTGAATTCAGTAATGTCTGCCTTCAGAGCTGAGTTCATTGCTACAAGGTCAACGGATTTTATTGCCATGATTAAAGAGTGTGATGAATCTGGCTTCCCCAAGGTAAGCCTTCACTCTGCCTCCCCACCACCCTGCCACCAAAGCCGTTGTGCAACTTCTCTATTTATTTATTCATTACAGCTGTAATGCTACTTCACAGCAGCAAAATGCATTTTGTATTAAAGTTATTCTGCTGGATGCGATTCATAATTTTTGCTGTGTTCTTGCACTATGGTCCTAACGTCTCTTTAGAATGCATATCGACCTCCATCACCCACCTTTTGCCAACGGATGGTTCTGCCTTGGGATCTAATTGACTTGGAACAGATATTTGCCCAATATTTTACAAGGCTGAAATATTTATCCAATGATAGGTGCAATCTAACACATGTTTAGACAATATAGCTGCCACTTGCAAGAATTTTTTTGTCTAAACACTCATAGAACTGCATCCTAATAGGTTAGCACAGGCCACCTAAAAAGGTGTTCCTGATTAACTGGAGAGTTGATTTTTAAAAATTACTTTAAAGAATCTGAAGCACGTAAGTTTGTAGAACTACGCTTGGTACAACATGTCTGCTTCATCTAGAAATGAAGAAACCATGCATTTAAGCTTGAGAAGGATTGGATTGCATATTGATTTTATTGTTAAAGATCATTTTTCCTAATATTTCTTTAACTGGTAGAAACCCTGAGTTTTACCCATATGATGTGTTTACTAGATGCATTTCCATGTTTTATTTTCCTTTTATCGTTTAGACTCTGAGGGCAATGCTGTTTTCCCTCTTATACCTCTCTCCTACAAAAACATGTTTTTATAACAGTAGTGCTTTAATGTGTAGCAGCCGTCTTATTTAATCAAGTGGAAATAACCCATGGATTCAGTTACATGGATGCACTCTTTCATTTTATTTTCACAGCATCTTCTCTTTCGCTCTCTGGGGCAGAACTTGGCTTTAGCTGACCCACCAGAAAGTGATCGGCTTCAGATTTTAAATGAAGCCTGGAAGGTTATCACAAAGCTGAAGAGCCCACAGGTGGGTTGTTGGTGGGAGAGGAGATGAGGGGCACAGCTGAAGCCATAAACCGTTGACATAAGTATACTGTAAGTTTGCATATTGCGGCTAGGGTGTATAACCAAAATTTTGACCTGGAATGCATCCATATGCAAATTTTACTTCAAATGCATAAAGGGTTTTGGTTAAGAATGCAACAAGCAGGCTGTTTCACCTGGACATGCACATGGTAGGCATGTCATGAGTGGAGCCGGCTGGAGCCGGGGTCAGACTAGATGGCCTGGGAGACCCCTTCTGACTCGCTCTGTTTTTATGTTTCTACCTCTGGGACCTGATTTGAGCATCAACAGGGGTGTGTGCATAAGGTGAGGTAGAAGAGCTTCAGGTTAGAGCTTTCTAAGTATTTTATGTAAGATAACATGCCGATTTTAAATATAACTCCCATGCCTTTATTTTTAGGATTATATCAACTGTGCAGAAATCTGGATGGAATATACCTGTAGGCATTTCACAGTATGTGCAGATTTAAGCATTTATTTAACATTTTAAATAAGCTTTTTTTCTTCCTGCATGCCCCTTTAGTAGTTTATCAAATACAGCAATGCTCTAGAATAAATATATATGCACGGCACTGAAATTTTATGCAAAAAAGGGTTTCTAGATGTTATTCAGGTGACACACCCCCCTCTTTGCTTGGGGAACTATGTACAAAAGCAGTGAGAATTAGTGGCACAAGCCTTGTCTGCTTTGTTTTGTTCTTTTCTGTCTTTCAAGAATTGTTTTCTTAAGTCAGGTCTGGTGTCAGGGTTAGGCGCCATCAGGGACCTTCCGAGAGCCTGCATCCCAACAGGGATGGGACCACTGGCCAGAGCCCCTGGACTTTTCCATCTTGACCTGCAGCTTGCTCTTCTTTGTCATCACTGCGACCTGTTTGTTCATCTCTCCCTTGCTCTGGCCTGACGGCAGTGGTGAGGAGGAGGAGGAGGAGGAGGAGGTGCAGGAGATACTGCAGCTTCTCGGCTCTCTGCTCGTCCAGAGAGCAAGTGAGGTCAGTGATGAAAGAGAGGACAAGGCGCAGTTGCAGAGATGGTGAGAAGGCAGGCTCACCAAAGAGGGAGACCCCTTGAGGGTGGCTTGCCTGAGGGCCCCAAAGCCTGGAGCTGACGCTGGGTAGACACCGTAAATTTTGCTCGTTGGGCATTAGGCACAGAGATGGTTACAGAGAAATGCTACCGGATAAGGAGTGGCACAAAGCGAATTGTTATCTTGGGCAGCTTTTGCAGGAAACCTTCCTATTTTGATGGTGTGTTTTAATTCAGAAACATCAGTCGTACAGTATGTTAGCTTTTCCTACCATTGTTTGGGCATCTATTAGTTGAAACAGGATAATATTTGTGGAACTGGGATCAATATTTGAGAAACAGGAGGGTGTGATGTTTGATTTTGGATTATGCTTAAAACTCCATATTAGATCTTTGACCTTAGATAAGACTACTTCTCCAGACACCTGGACAATCCCAACTCTTTTAACTATGTGTGCAGGAATAAATCTCGCTATTGCTTATCTTGGTAATGTAATTTTTTTTGCTTTGTGTGGTTTGATGCTGAACTCATGGCCAGCTTGTTTCTGCTTTCTGACAATTATCTTGCACTCCACAGAAACGCGAAGTGAATACTGTTTTAGCAGATGTCATCAAACACATGACTCCAGACCGGGCATTTGAAGAAGCCTACCCACAGGTAAGCCAAGAGTACAATCATAAAAATAACCACAGCGGATTTTGCTCAGCCTTTGAGGATGATGGCTGGCTTTTAATGCAAAAAAAATCACTGTGCACATAATGTAAAAGGAGAGCATGAACCAGTGAAAGTCAAATTTAATGGGATTCATTAAATCCAGAAAAAAAGAAAATATATCGTATTTTTCTGTGTATAAGATGATACTTTTTCTTTGAAATATTTAGCTAAAAATGGGGGGAAGGCTTATACACGGGGGGCTGAGAGGAGAACCGCGGGCGCACTCGGGGGGGGGAGGCAGGTGTGGGCGTGATTGCGGGGGGAGACTGGCGCAAGCGCACTCGGAGGGAGAGACAGGTGCGGGCGCATGCGTGCAGGGAGGCGGCAGGCGTGCAGCAGCAGCTTGCTCGCTTCGAGATCGGTAAGAACAGTGGGGGGTGTCCTATACATGGGGGCATCTTATAGTTGGAAAAATATGGTATATGTGGGAGGAGACCTGTTGATGATCTTCAAATGCTTTGAAAGCTTTCAGTGAGAAGAGGAAAGGCAATTACTCATGCCTGATGAAGGGCAGGATAAGAATTGATGGGGTTAAACGAAAGGAAGGTAGAGTTGGAGCTAATACAAGGAAAAGATTCTTAATGGTATGTCTTTTTCCCTTTGCTCCATCGTTCCTGATCTTAGCTTCAGTCAATAGTTCAGAAAGTCATCACCTATTTCCACGACTTCTCCGTTCTCTTTTCATTGGTAAGTTTCTGCATGGCTACAAGGATCACAAGTTCCCACAGCCTGAAAGGAACTGGCATCTTCTCTTGAAGGTCTTTCCTAATGAATTGGGTGGTGATTAAGGCACAGGAGCAGAACTTGGGGTCTAGGTCATATGAGTCTTAATGTTTTCCCGCACAAGCTACCATTTCCCTTTGCGACACAGTTTGGCTGTGGTTAAAGTGCTGCTAAATTGAAAGGATCTGGTGGGTTCAAATCTCCACTCCGCTATGAAGGTCACTACGCAACCTTGGGCAGGTTGCTCTCTTTCAGCCTGGCCTTCCTCACAGAGTAGTTACGAGGATAAAAATCTGGGAATGGGCAGGGACAGGGGCTGTGACGTCTTCCCTTGAGCTACTTGGAGGGAAAAGCAGTATATAAGCTTGGTAAGTAAACATTCCGTCTGCCATTTTGTAACTGGGAGGCTCCATAGCTCAGCACTAGACCACATTCCTAGCATGCATAATTCCCAGGCGCAATTCCGGGCATCTCGAATTAAAGATGTTAGATAGCAGGTGCTGAAGAATTTATTTTCTCCTGAGAACGTCAGAGAATTACTAGTATGCAGAATAGATTGGATGGGACTGACCTGGCCCAAGACACCTTCATGTCTTCAACTGATGTAAAGACCGTGCATGTCGGTATCCATTCACTTTGGAAACCCTGTTTATAGGCAAACGGTTCTTAGAGTGCAAATTGAGTTGCGTCTCCTCCCAGAGATGAGTCCAGGTAAAGTGCAGTGTAGTATGTAGCCCACCATGTTGATCTTTTCATTGCCTTTCAGGAGAAATTCTTGCCATTCTTGGATATGTTCCAAAAGGAGAGTGTGAGAGTGGAGGTTTGTAAGTGCATCATGGAAGCTTTTATTAAGTAAGTATCAAGTAGGCCAATTAAGTACACTCTAGAGAATCTAAACAATCTATTACAGGGTTGTTAAGTGCAATGGATTGAACTGGCTGGCTGTCCATTTTGCATTGGAAATGTTTTTATGAGCACTCAGGATTGGTCTGAAAAGGAATTTAAATGCATTATAATTGTATTGATCTGTTGTCTATATAAATAGCTGATTATGAAATCTAATGCAATAGGGTAAGTTTGTTTTGTAAACATATATTTCATAAACATGCCAGACACAGTCCAGCAATATACTTGAGTATAAGCAGACAGTTCTCAGTGCAAATCAGAATGTTTGTTTGGAACAGACTCTTCTTGCTAAGCTGATAATGAATGAGGAATATGTGCCATACTTTGGTTACTTGTGTATGCAGCACTGGGGCTGGATTGTGTCCAGTGTTCTTAAAATGGACACTTTGATGCAGTTACTTGTTATTAGAGCTTTCAGACCCATTAACAGCATTCATTAAATTAAAGGGTGCTTTGATCAATTGATTTTTATAAATCAGCATATGACAAATAAGTATTTTGAAGCACCTTGTTTTTAAATGATGTATGAATATGTCCCAGTTGGCTCTATCTTTGAAGAAGCTTTCTGTGAGAATGAAGACCATGCGTGCCATCAGTGGGTTTTATAAACCTCACTCCCTCTGAATCAGTTAACAAGTGCCCCCCCAGCAAAAATTGAACCAGAAGGGGCCACTGAGAAACTATAGAGAGGTAAGAATGTGTGTAGGTTTATACTAAGGTTTGCAGAACTACAAAAAAAATCAGCGACCCTTGAGGAAGCAAGCCCCTACTCTCGGACCCTGAGAATTGAGCAGTCTCAATAGCCATAAAATACTGAATGCTATTTGGAAAGGGAAAAGGGTGGCAGCGGCTGGAACCTTGAACAAAAGAGCTTCTGTTAAGACGTCAGAATACATTGCTATGTTTCCTTGCAGATCACACTTGTTAAGCAGATATGCCGCCTGGTTAACTGATGGTGCCTTTTTAGTGTAATTAAAAGGTTTTAAACCAATTAATTGATCTAAAGGATAAAGCTCTTCTGTTTATTGGTTCGCTGTTCTGGGTGTAGCAGCTTGAATAGGTCGAAGAGATACTTCTACCATATGCTTCTCCAGCATGCCGACTGCAACCTTGTGCCAAGGTATAAACACAACAAGCATATGGATGTTACAAACGGCAGAGTGGAAGGAGAAACGCTAACGGTTTAATTAAAACAAAAGCGTAACCCCAAAATAGCTTCCCTTTCAGTCTGGAACGTATGTGTCGAAGCATTTAATTTCCTTTTAATCATTTTTGATATTTAGATTGATGGTTCATCTTAGAGCAGTTTAGAAGCTGGAAATGTTAAGTGGCAACAATCAAATCTTGGGGAAACAGTCGATGGAAAGATCAGACGGGATCCCCTTGCCCTCCTCTGCTCATCATGAGGAGCAGTGCGTAGTGGGACCATCTTGCACGCTGGCACTGCATTTTAGGAGTGAGGGAAGATCTCATGTGCAACTCCTGATTGGCTTTTAAATGATTGCACTAGAATGTAATAGCCCAGGCCAGCTAGCAGATGTTCTACAAGCTGCATGCTAAGCTTAGTCGACAACAGTAACCTGCCCCCCCCCCCCCACAAACCTTAAAGCAGATGTCTTTGGGGAAATTTTATTATCCAAGTAAACTCCAAAATGTCTCAGGGTAATCAACCACTCCAGAATAAATTTGCATGTAATATTGGAAGAATAGCGCTGATGTGTGTTTCCTGGGATCAGTTTATGTTTGAAAGACCATAGGACATTTTGCTCCAAACACTTTCCATTTGCAGAAACAAAATAGTACCTAGATGGCAACAATTAATAGATTGCTTGGGTGCTTATCTGTCCTAGGTCCCTTTTTTTGTCCACAATAATAATAATAATAATAATAATAATAATAATAATAATAACAACAACAACAACAACAACAACAACAACAACAACAAAATAAGTGGCTGCATTGTATGGATCATGGGTAGTATCCAATGTTAGCCCGGCTTTTTTTGTCTGTTTCACAAACTCTGTTTTAAGTAATACTAATATTGGATACAGCCACTTGTTGGTTTGTTTTATTTAAAACCTTTTACCCTGCCTTTACCTGAAACGGTCTCAAGATGACTCACAAATCAGTAATAGCATATTAGAATACAGTTTATGAAGATAAAAATCCAATTTAAAAACCCATCAACTCTTGACGTTCTGGGAAAATAAAAAAGGCTTTGCCTGGCTTCAAAAAGGAAAAAGCATTGGCTCCAGGTGCACCTGTCTGAGAAACAGATTCCAAAACTGGGCACCACCACAGAAAAGGCTTTTCAGGGGTAGGCGTCTTCTAACCTCCTTCAAGGAGGGCTCCCGAGGAAGAACCTCAGTGGAAGATCTTAGCGTTTGGGCAGGTGTATATGGAAGAAGATGCTCCTTTACTATTGAACAGGTGCTAATATTGTAGTAGGGCCATGTTATAGGTCATTTTTCAATGTAAATTCTGCAGTGGAAGCTGCACTTGGGGTAGGAATTGTCCCACTGTTTAGATGTGGGTATTTAGCAAGGATTTCTGCAGTTATAAGGCTCTCCGGGTTTCCAATGGCTTGGGGAGTAGTTTAGGGTTCTGTGCCATATTTCCTCTTCCTGGTCACTCTGTTTCCTTCAAGCATTTATTCCCCACGCACAAGATTTCCTTTCTGGGCTAGGCACCCCTGGAAGTTTAGCCATGTTTGTCTTCACAGCCACCTTGTTGGTTCCTTTTGCACTTGCCATGCAGCAAGCGACAAAGCTGGGGTTGTATGATCAGCCCTCTTCAGTTTGTGCATCTTTCTTATTTCCTTAAGGATTGGTCAGACGGAATAGCATGCCACAATATTCCGAATACACTTGAGCTGTTTGTTAGTCTTTTGGTGGTCAGAGTCTCTCCCTAGGAGGTGCCTGTCATACTGGAAAGACTCAAATTCTCTCTCCCTCGTCTTCATTCAGGGTTGCTAGAGATCTCCAGCTGAGACCAGGCCTTTTATGTATGCTAAGGGTCAGCTGTCCCCAGCAAGCTGCCTTTTTCTTCAGAGCTGGAAAATTCTCCCCTGATATTTCCCCACTCCTCTTCCGCTGAGGTTGAGCTGAGCCAAAGACCCGAGGTGATTAACTCGCAAGGGACCCATCCCATCTCACTGTTTTCCTGTCTCTTTGCAAAAGGTCACTGTGACTTAGGCTGCTGTCATTTTCTGCAGTTCATTGAGCAGACCGTTGGGCATCCACAGCTTGTGGGAATGAGCAACCCAGGCACACAACAATGCTCGGTCTTGTTGGGCCTAGCCCAGGTGCCTATTTGGAGCTGGAGTGTGATCCAGAGGCTGAGCAGGCTTGGGAGATTAGCTCTGCCTAGCTTCCCATCTGAGTGCAGGCATAAATAAGATGGTACGGCCTATCAGTCGCAGATGCAAGGGTCACGAGGACCAGGGAACATTCTGCAGAGCTTTGGGAATATAACACAGGTCAAGGCATCAGCTGATAGGGCAGAACAGAGATGCCCTCTTAGGCATAGCACTGCTTATGGGCCGGATTCCCCTGTGCCAGAAGGGGAGCTCCAGCAGTCCCCCTCCTGTATTAAGCCAATGAGAGACAAAAGAGTCTTTGCTAAGAGTAATGCCTTTACTGCACAGCACAGCTTCTTGTCTGGACGTTTCATGGCTCTTGAACTCTTGCCTGCCTTGAGTCCTGCTTTGTCAAGACTCAGGCTGGGGATTTCAATGCTTGTTCTGACTCTCTGTGGATTCTAGCTTGGAACTTCCTCTTAAACAAAGCCATGTGCCAGTAGCCTCTTCCTAGACTGCTTGATTTATTTGGGTCTACAAAAGCAGTAAGCTTTGCTTCGAGTTCTGGAAAGCAGGCCTGTGTAACATGATCTGCTGCAGTGAAGGGGTTACTGTATTTAGGGCCCTGTGCTGGGTTGCCAGCAAGTGTCAGGAAGTTGGGTCTGGCAAGCCCTGGCTGCGAAAGAGGCAGAACAACACCGGGGCGCGGTCAGGATCGGTGCCAGAGCGGTGACTTGCACATATTTTTCAAGACGAAGAGCAGCAGACCTGTTAAGATTCTGCTAAGTACCTCACAGTGCCCTCCTTGGAGGCCACTTGGGATTGTGCTCTTTGGAGGTATTGTGCATGGTGACCCAAGGGAGATTGTTGGCTCACGACGACGGCACCATGCGCTGCCACCAGAGCCAGGGCCGTGTGCATCTGCCGCTGCTGCAGCTTTGTCGTGCAATAAACGGAATGCAGACCTTTTCATCCCCTATAATCAAAGAGCACTTTGAACCAATGCTATTTTTGTGGCAATACCATTTTTTACATGGCAGGAAGGCATAATCTGTCGAAAGGGTCATTAATTACCATACTAGGAGTCATTCCAGCTTCTAGGCAAGCAGGAGGCAGTAGGGAAAATACAGAAACCCTTGTGGGTATTGAAGTGTTGCATATAATTTCCGTATTATTATTTAGAGAAGGGATGAGGGACGTGTAGCTCACGCAAGTTGCCCTGCAGAATCAGAGAGAACTGCTTATGGGAAGGGGGCCTTAAAAAATCCACGAGGCCCCCACCCTTAATCCTTGCAGATCACGCCTTCTGTAGCCCTCTGAAAACAGTGGCTCGGAAAAGGTTAACCCTGCCCCTCTTGCTCTGCAGTTTGCACACTGCGTGAGACTCACAGCTCCTAAGCTCAGAAAGCCCAAGGTAGTTGTGAGTGGCAGCTTGCTATCTTTGCCATTTTGGGGGTCTTTCCTGAGGCCTAGTCCCCAAAACATTGGATGTGCTCAGCCCTGGTAGCTGGGCTGTGCCACTTGGAGACAGTCCTTGGAGGAAGCTCCGCAGCTTGTCAGGATGAAGGCTAGGCTAGAAACCCATCTGCTGGCAATGCTTGCTTGCTATGTGCGTGCGTCATTTTGCTTGGAGGGGGGTTTCCTCAAATGAGCCCTGTCTGGCATTCTGAAATCGGCAGCCCAGAACCAGATTTGCAGCCCCATCTGCTGTTTGGTAACTAGATCCTTAGACTCTCCAAAAATGGCACACTGAAATATGTTGCTGGAGTTTGGCTGCCTCGTCTTCTGCTGCATAGTAGGTCAGCTGTGCGTGTGTGTGTGTGTGCGCGTGCCTGCGGCTGGGAGACACTCTTCTTTTACCTGGTAGAACAGCTGTCTCCTACCCATTAATTTCTCTTGAGAGAATCACCCTTCAGGTGCAGCTTAAAATGTAAGTGCAGAGTTAGGACAAACTATATTAGCGTCTCTTTCCTGTTGTATGATAGAGTGACCTGATTTGCATGTAATGAAAACCCAGATTATGGGTTGAGTATGGCTTGTTATTGAATTGTAGATTGTTGTTGAGCAGAAGATTTTGTTATGCACACATCCTGCCCTGTAGCTTGCCTCAGGTTGCAACACAAGGAACACTTGAAGTGGCTTTTGCAAAGGTTAGGTTTAGCTCTCTTGAGTGAAGGTGGGCCAAAGACAGGTATGGACTTTAAATGATTTTTTTGTGTTCTTTTAAAATTCTGTGTTGATTTGGCCCCTCTGTTTAAACTTAACATCTATGCTGTGATCTTTGTCAGAAGCGAGTGCCACTGAGATTTATTGCCAGCTAAGTGTGCATAGGATTGCATCATTAGCATATTCCCTAACCCAATTTTGAATAAATTGCCTCTAACCTTTATGGTGAGGTGACTGACATGTATAATTGCAAATCAAGTTACTTTTTAGCCTTTATCACAGTTAATTTTCAGTCTCATTTTCCAAAACATGTGCATATGTTTCAGGCACCAGCTGGAAACAACCAAGGATCCTGTCATTCTCAACGCCCTTCTACATGTTTGCAAAACGATGCATGATTCTGTGAAGTAAGATATTTTACTTTATTTATAATGCACGGGTGGGGAATTATTTTGACCTAAAGGCCAAACTCAATTTCGCAGCCCTCAAGGGCTCTAGTGGTAAGTGAAACCAAAGGCAGTATGGGTGGAACCAAAAACTCCCACTCCCTGGCATATTTTGGCTGAAAGCTCCCACTGCAGTAAGCTAACTGTAGGAAGCGTCTTTTGACCTTTTAGAATGGGGCAGAACTGTGCAAAGCCAGGAAAGCACCACATGATTGATAGTTGGGATGAGGAGACGCAGGGAAGGTGGCGTGTCCATCTAAGGAACCCAGAGGGCTGGATGGGACCCCTCGTGGGCCCAGAGTTCAACCCAAGCTGCAGTTCCCCAGCCTTGTCCCAGTGATCAAGATAAGCAGATGGTGGCTTTTTAAAACAAGCGCTTTTGGGGCTATTAGTGTAAAGTGAGAGGTTGGTAGTATCTTTCCATGGCTGGTTTTCTTGGTTACACAGATGGGAGCTATGCAGGAAAAACTGTAGCACTGGTCGCTCGCTCCATTTAAAGACGGCTTTGTTCTAAATGAAAAATAAGGGAAAGAGCTGGAGATGCTGGTGACTTCACAGTTCAGTGAACGGGGGAGGGGGGGAGAGCTGGGAGAAAGACAGCAAGGAACATTTTAAAAGCGTTGAAAGAGATGAACAAAGCGAGTTGCTATCGTGAGATGAGTGATAGGGCACTCTGTTTAGCACCTTTTCCCATTCCTTTGTTTAAAAAGTGCTTACAGCTCCAATGAACAATGCAATATTGATGTAGGGACTTTTCCAGATGATAAAACAATTGTATAAATATTATAAATAAATGACAAAACCTTGAAATGTGTGTTTGTCATTTTGAAATGTGTAATAAAACTCTTTCTTACTAGCTATTTAAAAAAAAAAAAACAGTATTCTAGCAGAAAGCTGCTCTTCTAATATCTAAAGCCAAGCGGGGGTCTAAGAATCCAGAGCATGTAGAAATGACATTCCTGCATTCTGTCTGTTTCTCTCTACACTGAGATGATGTCTGCTTCATTTGGAAAAGAAGGCGGGCACAGTATGAGTCGTGCCCTTTGAAGTCAAGTGAGGAGGGCCAGCCACTCATAATCCTGTGATTTATCCTTGTACTGCTGTCGATTTTATAGTAATGGTTTTTTTTTTCCTGGATGCAGACCTCAACTGGGATGTGACATGGTCCCTTCCCAAGTTGCCTGCATGGTAAAACATCTGGGGGAAGGCTGTAAGAGTGAGAAAGGCACTATGGACAGTCCTCAGAACCAGTGGACTGAGATTGAAAGGGAATGGGGCAAGCAAGAATTGAATGCATAAAGCAGCCTGGGAGAAGCTGATGTCCAGCTGAGCGCTAGTTCTAGCAATGCCACACGGCTGCTAGCGGGCTCCCTGTGTTGTGTGAGCAACAAGCCCATGCGGCGCGACCTGCTCCCATTCTTGAGCTGCATAGACGCTTCTTAAGTTGATCAAGCAATCCCCACGAGTCAGTTGTGCGGGAACAGCATGGGAATATCACTAGCAAAGGTGGTAGCCAGCCACCGTTTTGAACAACTTCCCTGATACTTCCCTTTGAGGACACTCTCCAATTTATCCATTTACTTCTCTGGTGTGCTTGAATGTCTTCACTTCGTGGCTGAAGGAAGTAGAATTGTTCTGGATATGACTGTATCACAGAATGACTGGGAAGCACAAATACTTCACACTTTCTGTTCTTTCGCAACAACCTTCTCTTTTCTTGAAATGATAAAATGCCCCCACCTACCTAGAAGGAGCTGCAGAGAGTTCTCGTTTCTGAGGCAGAAGCAAAAGATTCTTGCATTGGCTGTTATTCCTTATTAGCATCAAACAGGAAGTAGCCGTGGCGCCCAGCCATGCCTTGTGATCGTGCTGGGAGAAAAACCCAGGTTTCCACTGCTTTGACACTGCTTTTGCTTCACTGAATTAGTCCTCAAGTTCAAGGCAGCAACTGCAAAAGTTGCTCCCCTTTTTAAACAATAAGTATCTAGTGGTAAAACATATCTAATGGTCTCATGCCTCAAATTCAAACGCTGGCGGTGTTTGCTGAATCTTTCCATTGTGCAAACAGTTGCTCATTGTGCTTGTGGAAATGGTTGTACAAAGGTAGTACACAACCAGTTGTGTATGCATAATATGCAGCAAATTGCATAGGCATGATGTGCAACAACTTGCACAACCATGCTTGCACAACATATCCTTCGCTGGATTCTCTTCTCTTACATTGTTCAGAACCTAGTTCTTATTAGCACAATGTATCTACACTTCTCACTCCTCTATTCTCCTTACCAGTCCTACCTCACCTGGAATACTGTGTCCAGTTCTGGGCACCAAGATTTAAGAAAGATGCAGGAAAATTAAAAAGGGTCCAGAGGAGTGCAACAAGAATGATCCAGGGTTTGGAAACTTTGCCCTATGAGGACAGACTGAGAGAACTAGGCATTTTCTAGTTTTCTAGAGGCTTCGGCAAGGGGCAGCATAGAAATGTTCTTATAATAATAATAATAATAATAATAATAATAATAATAATAATAATAATTTTCAGCCTTGAGAAGAGAAGACTGAGCGGGGAGATGATATCCCTCTATATGCACCTCAAAGGCTGTCAGAAAGAGGGAGGTCAAGATCTCTTCTCACTGATCCTGGAGTATAGGACACAGAATAATCAAGTCAAGTTGTGATAACCCAGATTCAGACTGGACATCAGGAAGAGCTTCCTCACTGTCACAGCAATACGGCAGTGGAACCAGTTGCCTGAAGAGGTGCTGACTCCCCCACACTAGAGACATTCAAGAAGAACCTGGACAGCCATCTGAGTGGGATGGTGTAACTTGGTGTCCTGCAGTAGCAAGGGGTTGAACCCAGTGGCCTTTATGGCCCTTCCAACTCTACTATAGCATGATTCTATCATTCTGTGACTGTCATTGGTGCTAGCAGTGTAACAGTTGGATACTGTCTGACATCTGGAGATCTTGTTCTGATTAATCAGACCTCCACCCCTTTATTTCAACATGCACTCCATTTCTTCAATGTAGAATATCGACCAGTTTGTCCATTTCTGCTATTTCAATGACAGTGATCAGATCTACTTTTCAGTACTGAGTCCATATGATTCTTAATTCCAAAAGACCAGTAAGTTGTGCAGTAATTTGTTCTTGAAACATTGCATAAGAATTGTTTCTAGACCAAGTGCTAATCTTGCTTTGTATCTAGGTGATAAGTTCCAACAACTTAGTTTTCAGTATTACTGTTTTGCTAATTAGCATTTCACTTTGCTTCATAAAGAATTTTGCACCCGCTACAAGAGAACGTACCTGTTGCATTGGTGTAGTTTATTTAATTTGTTTATTTTATTTAATTTCTGTCCTGCACAAAAGCTATCTGGGTGGCAGTGCCCTGGCGAAGCTGCAATCAGAAAGCCCCTTGGTTAAATTTCACCTCTCCCAAGAATTTATGAAGTTGTCTTAGGCGAGCCACTCAATCTCTGCTTCTGGTCCTTTTCTCTCTTTTTCTGCCCCCTTGCTTCTTATTCTTAAAAGGGAGGTTATAGTGAATTATGTTATTTCACACTAATAATTACAACTATAAAAAGAATAAATTATGTTATTTATGCACACAATGCATGCAAAGTGTTTTCAACATTTGCAAGAACTGCATGCATGTTAAAAATTATCAGTACCAAAGGGTCAAAATAGCTACTGTAATTTTCCTGCTTAGCCACCACTCAAGCATAAAAAGCACAGGATGGGTCATGTGGACAGCTGTTTCGTGTGTGTGTTTTCAGGTTAGTAATTTTTACTGGAGGAACTGGAGTTCTTCCCTCCCATCTTCCAAGCCATCCATCAGCTTCCTATTATGCTTGTACTGGATGGTAAAACACTAATGAGCTAATGATAGTGAAGATTCACTCTTTCCCTCCCCCCCTCACATTTAATTTGTGTTACAAAACAATTACTCCGATCCCATCTGGTGTCTGCACAAGGAGAATTGCAAAATAGTACATTGGAGACTAGCAAGTCCAGGATTAGGCTAGATTACTTAATTGTAATTGAGCTGTGGTCCATTTTCATCAAACATGCTTGGTTTATTACCGTCCCCTTTGGTAAACAAATTAAATGTGCATGATATGAAATAGGTTTGGCTAGTTTCCGTCTGCAGACTAGCCCGGCATTTTATGTCTGTGCCTTGCTTTTGGCAAATCCACGCACAGCAAAGTACTATCGAGCAGTGCAGTTGATAAAAGCACGGACAGTGTGGTGTAGTGGTTAGAATGCTGGACTTGGACGGACCCCACTCAGGCATGAAGCCCAAGGGGTGCCCTTGAGCTAGTCACTGACTCACTGCCTAACCAACCTCGCAGTTTATTTATTTATTTATTTATTTATTTATTTCAAACATTTCTATGCCACCCCCATCGCAACAAAGCCTCGAGGCGGCTCACAAAGGATACATAAATACATAAATAATGACCATATAACAATTAAAAAATTATTTAAAAACCTCCGGTGCATCTCGGCTAAAAATTTAAAATCCTGTAAATACATAATAAGTTAACAATTAAAATAACTTTTAAATAAAAAGGTCTTGGTCTGGTGCCGAAAAACAAATAACGACGGCGCCAGGTGGACCTCTCTGGGGAGCGCATTCCATAGATGGGGCGCCACCGCAGAGAAGGCCCTCCTCCGGGTACTCACCCTCCTAATGTCCTTCACGGAGGGTTCCCGGAGGAGGGCCTCTGCTGCCGATCTCAAGGGTTCTTGTGAGGATAAAATGAAGAGGAGGAGGATCATGGAAACCACCTGAGAGTATCTGCAAGAGGGGAAGAGTGGCACATAAGAGGCAGGACTGGATTGCTCTAGGAGAGAGAGTGTGGCCTAGCAGTGAAAGTGCTGGACTGAGAACTCAGGAGATCCAGATTCTAGCCCCACGAAACTTGGGCCAGCCAGTCACTCTCAGCCTTTGGCAGCTTGGAAAATAAAGATCGTTACAAAAATTTCAAGTTGGTGACGTGCCATCAAGTTACCTCTGGCTTATGCTGACCCTTCGGATGACCGCCGTCCAAATTGTCTGTCCTTCACAGCTCTGCTCTGTTCTTTCAAACTCAAGTCTGTGTCTTCCTTTATGGAATTGATCCATGTCAGATTAGATCTTCCCCTTCTTTTTCTGCCTTCAACTTTCCCGAGCATTATTGTCTTTTCCAGCGAGTCTTGCCTTCTCATGTTGCATCCAAAGTATGACAGCCCCATTTTTATCTTTTTGCTTCTAGGGCAAGTTCTGGCTTGATTTGTTCTTGGACTCCCTTGTTCATCTTTCTGATAGTCCAGGATACATACATTGGTTTTAATTGTTTGCTCAGAAAGTTGGCTGTATGAGTGTCCGTCCGTGTGTGTGTGTGTCTATGCATTTGTGGTGAACTGCATTTTTGATTGGGAAAAGAATATGATTTCAGTACTAGATCCAGTTCCCCAAGAGGAAGCCCATTGAACGTAGTGGGACTTCTTAGATATGCAGTTTTGCGTCGTCCATCTATTTAGAAATGTTTCTTAATTACTTATGCTCTATTGTTTTCTAGTGCATTGACATTAGAAGATGAAAAGCGTATGCTGGCTTCTTTGATAAATGGATTTTTAAGAATGGTAAGCAACTGTTTGGCTGTTCTGTGCTTTTATTTGTATTTAATTTTTTTAATCTTAAAATGGCTGCCATCTTTAGATGTTTTTGAGGAATGGACATCAGTTTCTCTTGAAATACTGAGAGGCTTCTTCCTATACTGCCAGGGTGGGAAATCTTGTCTTCCAGATTTGCTGGGCTGAAGTTCTCATCTGCTATAGATAGCATATCCAATGTGAGTTGCAGTCCAGTAATATGTTCTTAGAGACTGCAGGTGGCGCAGTGGTTTAAACCGCTGTGCTGCTGGGCTGGTTGATCGAAAGGTCACTGGTTCGAATCTACACAACGGGGTGAGTTCCCGTTGCTCTGTCCCAGCTTCTGCCAACCTTGCAGTTCGAAAGTGTGCAAATGCAAGTAGATAAAAAGGTACCACTTCAGTGGGCAAGTAACAGCGTTCTGTGCACTTCAGTGTTTAGTCATGCCGGCCCCATGACCACGGAGACTGTCTGCGGACAAGCGCTGGCTCCCTCGGCCAGGAAACAGAGAGGAGCACCGCCCCCTAGAGTCAGGCATGACTGGACTTAATGTCAAGGGGAAACCTTTACCTTTACCTTTAATATGTTCTTGCAAACCTACCACGCTCTTGAAAATCCATGGTGGGTTGGATTTAATTTGGAATTATCCCAAACGAGGAGCAATGATTCCCCATTTTAGGCTTATCTTACAGTTTACATGACTGCCACAAAGTTAACTGAGAGAGATTCCAGTAAAGACACGAATAGAAATGCAGCATCTGACCTGCTGGGATTGCTTTATTACCACGTCCCTCCAGTGCATTAATTAGGGATGTACACATTAAGAAATGTGTACGTTCCGGCAAAGTCAACATTTGCAGTCAGCATCCCCTTCCCATGGTGCCCTGACTTGCAGTTTATTATGGCACGAGGAGCTTTGAGGGACCAGAATCCATTTCATCAGATGGAAATGTTCCGTGGCCTGACTTCTGAAGTGAGTTACCTCATCCACATGTCTTCTGTTGGACCCATGTTGAAATCTAAATGTATGGTGGATACGTTTGTCATCTTAACTCCTGGTTATGAGGACAAAATGAAACTCCCTCTCCAGGGATAGTGTACCTCTGAACGCCAGATGTTGGATGACCCACAACGGGAAAGCTGTGCCTTTGTGTCTGGCTTATGAGCTTCTCGGAAACATCTGGCTGACCCTGTGGGAACACAGGAATGTACCAGATGGACCTTTTGGTCTAACCCAGCATGGCTTCTCTTCTTTTCCCAGCACATCAAAGGGGTTAGGAGTTCCTTAGACGTTATTAAAGATGAAGAACACAAGCACTACAAGATCTGGTGTTTTCTAACACCACCATGAACCATATTGCTTGGGATATATTTATTTATTTATTTAGGATATTTATATGCCGTCCTTTGCAAAAGCCTCAGGATGGCTTACAAAGATAAAATACAAATACCACCAAACATAAATTATCGACCCACTCTGGCTGCGGTTAAAATATAATGGTAAAAAATGCAATATTAAAACTTATTAAAATGTTGATCAAATCAATAGGTCTTAACCTGGCGCCGAAAAACGTATAATGACCACGCCAGGAGGACCTCTCTGGGGATTGCATTCCATAGACGGGGCGCCACTGCAGAGAAGGCCCTCCTCCGGAAACTTTGCCTCCTGATGTCTTTCACAGAGGGCTCCCGGAGGAGGGCCTCTGCTGCTGATCTCAGGGGGCAGGGGGGCAAATAGGGAAGAAGGCGTTCCTTTAGGTATCCCGGTCCCAAGCTGTTTAGGGCTTTATAGGTAATAACCAGCATCTTGAATTGAGCCCGGACTTCGATGGGATCTTGTTTTCAAGATATATGGGATCTTGTTTTCAACTGCTGCATTCAGGCTAGCACTGCAGTTCGGCGAATTGAATGGCAGGAAGGGGTAACTAGATGCCACATTCATGGATAAGAAATGACTTTGTGCATCGTCTTAATCCAGGTTTCATTTGGCCGTGACTTTGAGCAGCAGCTGAGTTTTTATGTTGAAGCCCGATCAATGTTTTGCAATTTGGAACCTGTTCTTGTCCAGCTGATTCATGTAAGCATATCTTGGAAGTGTAAATTTGATTTCAGCGACTGTCTGAGCTATTTTTTGCTGCTGCATATTGCCATTCCTTACATTTCTCTCCAGGGCAAGGTCAATTTTGTAAGCATTTCAACAGCAGAGAAAGAGCATTTGTACATCAAGTTTTCTATCAATAGTTGGCATGAAGTTGCTGCGTTAATCTCCAAAGTGAAAAGGCACAAAGTCAGCAGAGCTAAAAGCTGTTAATTTGCTGGAGAATGTTCTGAATTGTTTCCTTCATTTCCACCAACAAATTGGTCTAATCAGAGTCTATAGTCTCTGATGTGCTCTCTAAATTAATTGTGTTGTTGAATAAACAGTATTTTGAGGCAATTTTCTTAGCCTAAATATAGATCAAACTGGTCAGTAAGCCAAATGGAGGCTCCAGGGCAATAAACTGGCACTTTTTTTTTTTTAGTATTGTTAAAGGCACATTTTTAGCCCCATAACCTTAAAGTATTTGCTTGCAATGCCTGGAAAGATTTCCAGAGCCACACTGGGGTGTTGCCATACTGAGTATCCAGGAAGCAGTCTGTGACCTGAATAGTACATTGTCTCTTCTTATTACCAGAAGCAGGAAAAATAGCTAAAGGGCACAGTTGTGGTGCACAACTCCTGTAACTCCCAGCATCCCCCCCCCACAGTATTTTTTTTCTGTCTAAGAAACATAGGATTGCATCCTTACTGAAAAACAAGAGGCAAATTTGCATACTTTATCCAAGTTGCAGAATTCTGTTTTTTTTTAATGTACAGGTCTATTTAGCACCAGATACACACAATTCCATTTGTGCATTCTTCTTGTCTTCTTCCATTTTCCCTAAGCTGACTCACAGTTAAATGACACCTCATTCATGATTAAACTGATTTTAGTTCCATTGATTATTATTGACAGTCCTTAAGTTGTTGAGTTGCAGAACTGTTCCCATCGGTAACATATTCTTTTAAAATAGAGTGTGAACCAGCTGGCAATGGAAACAAGAAAAGTGATGAAAGGGAATCATTCCAGAAAGACTGCTGCCTTTGTTAGGGTAGGTATGAACACTCAGTAACTTCCATGGCGTTAATTATTTTTGCATGAACAAGATTGTGGCCTTTTACGGATGTGTCCCTAAACTGTGGTTTAACTGTCACATGAAAAAACAAGCGAGCACTGAACTTTTGTGCTGTACTTCTCTTGGGTGGGTAACAGTGAGGATACTGGACACGACTGTTTGGGAATTTAAACTAATTGGAGTTTTTACTCTAAACCAGGGAAATGGCTTAAAGCAGCTTTCCCTCCAGATGTTCCAGCTGCAGCTTCTACCCATGGCTTTCCCTCCAGATGTTCCAGCTGCAGCTTCTACCCGTGGCCGTGCTGGCTGGAAGGATGGTGCTTCTAGTCAAACCCCTCTAGAAGGCACCTCACTGGGGGATGCGGCTTTCAGTTATTGTTTTCCAAAACAAATCAGGATGATGTACCCTGATTTGGCCCTACCTTGTTTCAAAAAACTAGTTCCAACAAACCAGATTTGTGCCCATTCAAATGTAGTGACAGACTCCAGCTTTAAAACGGCACGGTAGCTTCCGATCTTGTGGTCAAACCAAAGGAGCGTGCAGGCCGAGCTCTGCATTTGCTAATTCGCATAGCACTGAACCTTGGTGGAACTCCACATCTAAAACAGGCCAGTAAGTTACTTCTGAGCATCTACACTTGTTTTTGAATTGTTGTTAGCAGTTCTTCAGTTCACAAGCAGTTTCCGAATCTTCTGTACTTTCCCCCATACAATAGACATGACCAGCTTTTTGAGATCTAGTATCCTGTATTACTATTGTGCCAAAGTGAATTCTGGCAAGTGCAGCTTTTCAAACCATGGAGCACTGTGACCTGACAAACTAGAACCCCTTCTGCTACACAAGGTTTGGATGTGCCAAACCCCCATGTGCGGATGGTCTTTTACAGTACAGCCTGATTCTGTGCATATTTACTCTGAAGTAGTTCCCTGCATTCAGTGGGGTTTGTTCCGTAAGCAACTATATATAGGACCTGCAACAATCCATACTGCCATTTCTTAAGCTAGTGTTCTATTAGCTTACTTTGAACATTTTTTAATCTGAATAAGACCATCAGAGCCTGCTTGTAATCTCCTTTCAAGTCAACAGAAAAGTCTCATCTTTCTTTTGAGTCCTATGCAGAGAAAATTAAAGAAACTGTTGTTGAAGGAAAGAAGGTTCGTGTGCATGTTCCCCTTCCAGGAGCACATGCATACGCATTCCAGATTCTGACTAGCTTGCAAACTGAGTCCAGGCAAAAAGAGTCTCATGTCTGCTTTAAAAGGCAGTCAAAACCTCCTTGAAGCATCCTGTGGACTGTGGCAATAGCTACGACAGCGGTATTTTGGAGACAGCAGGAAGGAAGTTGGAAAAAGGGAGAGAGAAAATGGGTGGGAGACAAAGTTAGACTGAAGGTCAAGTCAAGCAAGAAAGCAGGATCCCTGGGACTGGACCACCTGCCATTTTTGCATGGCAAATAGCAGCTGTATGTCTGTGCAGATTTCAACCAACGATATGTCCTAAGACGCAAGAGCCATGCTGGTCCATCTAGTCCAGCAGCGGCCAAGCAGCTATCCAGGCGACCCAAGTGGAACAAGCACTCTTCCACAGGGCCCAGGAATGATAATGAATCCAAAAGGGGGAGGGTCCCATAATGCAGATTTGGATTAAAAGGAGGTTCTGAGCTCAGAAATGTTGGAGTCCACTGATGAACGCCAGCCCATTATAGTAGGCCTAAAACCTATCTGTACATTGCATGTACTTTGATGAAAGTACATACACACAACACATGTTGCCTTCAAGTATAAATATTTCCTGAGCAGCTCACAATATGAAAAAGAACAATACTACTATAAGAGAAATAAATAATGCACAGGAACAGGAAGGCTGCTTAAAATTACAGCATTTGAACACTGCTGTGCTTCCTGACGATTCAAGACATATTCAGAATAGTCCTGGAAAACGTGTCTCTTCTTTTCTTAGGCTTGTGTTGCTTTCTGCTTCATTACAATTCCATCTTTGACAAGTATATTTTCTCGACTTAATTTGTACCTGCTCTCTGGACAAGTTGCTTTGGCAAATCAGTGTCTTTCACAAGGTAAGACTTACGACTTTATAAAAGTTTCATTTTTAAAAGAAATCATTGCTTAAGGAAGCTTTCTTTCCAGAGTGTGGGAAAGATTATTTGCATTTTGAATGTTCGATGTAATGACTTGGAAAAGGAGGTTGAATCTTTGCAGACAGACATCTTGCACAGAGTGAACATGCTGATGAAAATTATTTTGCTAATAAAAACAAAATCGTATAATCATCCTGGGGAGATGAAGTCAAGACATGGCTCGTGTTTGGAATCGTGACGATCCAAGAAAATGTGCTAATGTTTCCTTAAATTGCTATTGAACTAGTTATAAAATATGGTGTTCAGAGACTGCATTTTTAAAGACAGGATGCAGAACAGAATACGTACATGTGTGATTTGTTTTAAAATGCTAATATTTGGTAAATAGTGTGAAAGTTAATGCTGCCATGTTATTTACTAATAAGGCTGTTCTGTTTCTTCTGAACAAAATCTTCATCTCTTTGTTTACACAAACACACCCAAACCTGAACTGCTACAGGTTCAGCTTTACAAAATATTCCAACTTTTCTTTTCCAAGTAGTTAGGGGTGTGCGCCTTGAGTCATCTTTTGTCACCAGAGGGCCAAACGACTGTGGCGCCTAGCAGTGCTTTCCACCAGCTTGAACTGCTGCATCAGCACTGGCTGTTCCTAGGCATAGCCTTCCTGCTGTGACCCAAGCATTGGTAACCTCAAGGCTGGGCTGTTGTAACGCCTTCTGTGTGGAGCTGGTCCGGAGGCTGCTCTTAGTGAAAAAGTGGTGACTCAGCTATTCACTGGGGTGCTGCATCAGATCCGTGTCCCAACTCCTTAAAGGTGCTGGGCCAGCCACTGGTTAGCTGCCAGTCCAGGCTTGGGGTCCTGGTGGTGATAGATAAGGCCCTGAACAGCTTGCAACCGAGTTGCTTGGAGGAGAGTCCTTTCCCTTAATGTCCTGCTCAGTCACTTTGATCAGGTTGTCACACAGTTTGGATAGCAAGCAACCAGGAAATGGGCCTTCTCTTGGTGACATTCTTGGCACTGTTCCTGTGGAATGATCTTCCCTTGGACCAACATCTTTTCTCTTTTGTCACCTTCTGAAGGCTTGTTTATGTAGCCAGGGCCTTGCCCATGTTTAAATCCAGTCTCTGGTGTTTCATTTCAAATGGCCCTTGTTTCATGGCTGTTTTCATTATTTCACATAGCTCAATTGTTTTACGGTCATATGTTTTCAGTTGTTTACTTACGTGCTTCTCTTTGTACATGTTTTATGAAAGATGGGCTAGAAGTGCTTCAAATAAAAATGAAGACTTCATTTTGATGATAGCAAAAAAGTTATTCCTTTATGCTGGATTTTACTTGGTATCGGGTATAAAGCTCTAGTTTTTAGAAACAGTGCCTACAAGGTGGTCTTATGAGTTACAAAAGCAGTATTTAATACACATACTACAAGACTCAAATCTAGGATGTGACCAGAAATGAAAGGACTGTAAGGGAGAAGGTGGTAATCAATACTTCTAGAGTTTGCAGTATTGCACTCCTGGAGATTTTTACTGATTTACCTGGGCCAGGATTTGACATGATTTGTGCATATACAAACCCCTGGAATTTCAGGAAATTAAACCAAGATGTGCGCTCAGTCAGCTGGAGGCGATGCTCCTGTAACCGTGCCGCTTCTGGCTGACCCACTGCACAGCCTTGGGTCAGTTGGTGTCATCTTGATTTAATTACCTGATGTGCTGTGGGTAGCAGATGTCTTAGAAGCTGCTGTCTTGTGATTGACTTATTCTTGGAGGTAGAATTACTCGGCATTCTCTCTTACCTCCTCCCTCTCTCTTAGTTTTAATTAAAAGATTTCTAAACTGTCTTTCAGGGCATATAACCATTGCAAGACAATGTTCAGTTCTTTTTTTCCTCCTCTTGATAGCTAATTTTGACTGCTGTGCAATTGGAGCAGAATTATTAGGGCTCAGGAGCGGAGTGTAAAAAACGCCATGAGGAATCTGACCCACTGTTATCTAGCCCAACTTCCTGCAGCTCTCTGCCTTTCAGACACATTTGGACTGCAGCACCCAGAATCCCCTGTTAGTGGTCCTGCTGAATGGGAATTCTGGTAGTTGTGGTCCAAAGGCCTCTGAAGGTTGGGGAAGGCTGATCTAGTCTAGCATTCTGCTGACACTGGCCAACGCGTTGCCTGTATGAAATCTACAAGTCAGCTATGAATCCAGTGACACCATCTTGTTTGTATTCCCTAGAAACTGGTACAAAGAGGGATTCTACCTACTCTGCTAGAGTTAGTATGTGGCCATCTGGACTAGTAGCCACCCATGGCTTTATCTTCCATCAGTTTGTCTGGTCCCCCTTTAAATCCATCCACATTGGTGGCTGTCACCGTGTCATGTTGTAGCAAATCCCATCGTGTAACTATGCACTGTGTGAAGCGGTATTTCCTCTTACTTGTCCTGGACCAGGCAGCTTCATGAGATTATGTAGTACGTAATTTCATAAATATTTGGGTCGATTATACGAGGCCAGTCACTCCACCCCACACGTCGCACTTAAATCCTGCCAGTTTTGCTAATTTCTTGCTCCCCCTGGTTCTGCTGCCGTGCAGTGCAAACAAGAAGTGGTGAGACAACATGGGAGGGTCGTGCATTAAAGACTGAACTGTCTGGAACCTCACTCAAAACCCCACGATTGAGGCAAGAGGAACATCCTGATTGTACAAGTGTTCAGGAGTGCAACAGATTGCTCCGAAAGGTGGTGACTGGGCTAGAGGCTGGTCGGCCACCTGTCTTGGCTGCTGTGGCACCCCATTTCCTGCATAAGCAAGGGGAGGGACTCAATTGCCTTCAGGGGCTTTTCCTGCTCTGTGATTCTGCAACAAGCTTATATTTAACCCTGAAAGGCCTGGATTGGGATTGCTTTCTTGGGGAGCGGAGGGCTTATCCTAGCAGAAAAAGGTGTGCACTGAGCTGTTGGCATGTTCCTTCTAACTTGGGTGCTTCCAGACATACATGGACAAGGGAAAGTGAGCTAAAAGCAGCCCCTTTCATCGGCCAGCATCGTGCACTTACTAGCAAGTTCCAACTGTAAGTGCAAACAAGGGAAGCTGACCTGAGAAGCTGACGAAGGCTTTTGCTGCCAGGCTTCTGGCTCATTTCTTTGTTTGGACATGGCGTCGCCTGTGTCATCAGGGCAGGCGGATTTAGCGCAAAGCTGACTGTTCCATCCCAGTGCACTGTAGAAACAATAGAGTGGCTAAGTCAGTGCAACACACTCGTATTTATTGTCGTTTGTAGGCAAACAAGCACAGACTGCGAGAGCAGGTCGTTTTTGGTTCCTCTACCGTGATTAACTCATTCTGTGCGGCAGCAGTGGTGGCCTTCCCCAAATAATTCTGTGTGCCCTTCTTTGTTCAGATCTCTAACTTAGCGTATCAGCGAAGGCTCTGCATGGCTAAAATAATTCCAGAAGCACCCCCATTTTCAGGGTTTCCTGGTTCTTCGATGCTGTTATGCACAGTAAATAATGGGCTCTCTGGCTACCCTGGCCAGGGCGACTTCCTTTATATTGTTATTTATTTTACATTGTTGGTTTTATATTGTTATTTTTGTATTTTATTGTATTTTATTCTGTGCTGTGAGCCACCCCGAGGCTTCGGCAAGGGGCGGCATAGAAATGTTTTAATAAAATAAATAAAATAACTAAATACCCTTTAGTTAACTAGATAAAGGTAAAGGTTTCCCCTTGACATTAAGTCCAGTCATGCCTGGCTCTAGGGGGCGGTGCTCCTCTCCGTCTCCTAGCCGAGGGAGCCAGCGCTTGTCCGTAGACGGTCTCCGTGGTCATGGGGCCGGCATGACTAAACACTGAAGTGCATGGAACGCTGTTATCTTCCCAGCGAAGTGGTACCTTTTCATCTACTTGCATTCGCATGCTTTCGAACTGCAAGGTTGGCAGGAGCTGCGACGGAGCAACGGGAACTCGCCCCGTTGTGCAGATTCGAACCGCCGACCTTTCAGTCAACCAGCCCAGCAGCACAGCGGTTTAAACCACTGCGCCACCTGCAGTCCCTAGTTAACTAGACAGTTACTCTTAAAACTCGATGCAAGTATGTTCAATCAGGGCTGACCCAAGACACATTTTTGACTGAGGCAGAGCACTGGCTGCAGCTCCCACCCTGATACACTGGCAGGGATGCAGAAGCTCGATTCAGTACTGGAGAAGCTCCCGAAGGCGTCACTGCTGCGGGGGATGGAGTCAAAAGCAAAAAGGGCGGGCCCAACAAACCCAAAACAGCAACATGTTCTATCTGAAAGGTCATATTGCCCCAGTTAAGTTTTGGGAGAGGCATGGTGACTTTTTAGAATGGGGAAAAGTCTGCATGGAAGCTGGGAAACCACCAAAGGATTGGTGGTTCTGGGAAAGGGAACCCGAGAAGGGCTTGAGTAACTGCTTGCGATTTTCAACAAATCATCAAATGAGGCATAGCTTGGATGGAATGGACTTAAAACTGAATCCATCTGCAATGAATGCAGACTGGATAGAGACTGATTGAGAGGATTCTGTCTCCAGTAGTTCCCCTCAGGGCTCTTTGGACTGTTTTCAGGGTTCTCTCCTATTTTGGATTTTCCCCCTGAAGTTGTGTGTGCGTGCGTGCGTGCATGTGTGTGTGTGTGTGTGTGTACATGTTTGGGTCCTCTTGAGCCTGTTGATACTTCTTGCTTGTGTGCAAGTGGCACAGTTTTGGCTGCATCAGCAACAGCACTTACCTTTAAACAGGTGGGAATAGCTGGAATGCTGAAAACTATAGAGCTGAAGGATATTCATGTGACATACAAGCCTGGAAGATCTGGAAGTGCAAATCTTGGAATCCTGGAAGTTTTCTTGAACTCACTGGGGCTTTCTTCGGAACAGTCATATAGAGGATTGCATTATGTGGCCTGCTACACCGAATTAGAGTCATTCCGTGCGCTTTCAGAGAGTGCTGATGCCAAGA